AAAATTGAGAAACCGCACGCAAACGTCTCATGCAATATGTCCGTGTGACTTGGCTGCAAATCATGTTTAAAAACAGCTGTGAAATGTTTACTGGACATATTGATGGCAGAGAGACAGCAGCCCAGCAGCCTTCCATTCCTGTTGGTCCGGGGCCTCTCCATCCATCTGCTGCTCACGCTCCCACCTCCGTCCAGCACAGGCTAGTTTATGCAGAGTGACCACAATTTACCGACAGCCTTCTTGTCTAATAGATACCATTCATTCTGTCTGAGCGTGCTCTTTGGCAGGAACGCACCGAAGTCCATTTGGGAAATGAGTCCACTGCAAACGCACGCAGACTGGCTGTGTTCAAAAACCTCCAGACTGATTTTGTTTCTGGTCACAGTTGGCATTGTTATGGGCATTTTGATATGAAACCGACTCCTCTGATTCTCCATCATGTCCACGTCTGACAGACATAAAACATCCCAGATCACCAGCGCGTTTTGTCGACTGACGACTCTTTCGTTTTATGTCCTGTAACTTGATAGAGAGCCGTCCTCGTAGCCATGTGCTGCTCTAAGGTTTCCCCTCCACTTTGATGTATGGACTAATGATGGTGTTTGATCTTCACGTCTCACTGAGTCAGAGAAATCTGAGAAACTTGATCGATATGTGGACTCGATGCTGCCCGAGTGTGCGTAAAAGACAGGGCAGTCTGCACCATGAGAAACTGCAGCCTCATCATGACTTTTCCCACCCATCACTGCTGTCCAGTTGCATTAGTTAATTGCCCACTCCATTGTCACTGAACTGTTTTACACTTACTCTTCTCAGTGGCAGTGCTGACTCAAGTCATTCACATGCACTTTTTTATCTATTTCTACTGAGGTTGTTAGCTTCAGAACAGCCTTTCTTCATTAAGGACCGCTCATAATACGACCTCACAACGATGCTTGGTCTGCTCTCATCATAGCAGTACTTCAATGGCCGGAGAAAAGCAGACAAAGATCTGGATCAGACTGGAATAATGAATCTTTTCAATAAAACTCAATATTAGTTACTGATACTGCATTTGATATGGTGCAGGACTGTGCCTTTTTGGGGACGTGCAGATCCAAACCAATATTTGGATCAATTTTTTAAAAATTATTTTAATCAGTTAAAAAATAATATAATGATTATTTTTCAATTAAATTACATTTTAATCAATTGTATTAACCACCATTTTGAAAGCTTTACACCAGTTTTTTTCTCATTTAACAATGTCAAAATCGTATTCTATTTAACAGCATATAAATCATAATGTTGAAAAAAAAAACCTTGCGTTCTCCTGACCTGCTTCTTCTTCTTTGGGCAATAACGGCAACACTGCACGCTTCAGTTTGCTTTGCTGCCATCTAGGGACTCCCATCTTTATCTGAAATAATTGATGGGATCTAAAAGAAAAGAAATGTCTAAACAGGCAGGTATACATTTTCTAACATAGTGTTTACAAAATTATCTTTACCACGTGTGTAGAAAACCAAAGAAACGAAGACAAAAAGAGAGTCGCTGATGCACAGCACACAACAAAATGTGACCTCTGCCTTCAACCCATCTCCTAAGTGAGCAGGGGGCAGCTCAGTGAACGCCCTGGGAGCAGTGTGTGGGGTTCAGTGCACCTCAATGGGACCCAGAGGCTGCTGGATTTGAACCTGCAACCTTCCATACACGTCCGCCTACTTAACCAAGGCAACCACTGCCTGGTCTGGGACTGAACATTTCTCTCCCCTCGTAAACTTCCTAACCTTCCAGCAGGATGATGACCTATTCTGCTGTCTGATCCACAGCCATATAGTTTCCTTGCATGTCATTATATTTAGAAAATAAACTGCTGCAAACCACCAGTCTGTGGATACTCTTTGATCAACCTTATTTAATGAAACCACATCCACTGCTTTAATAACACTATGAGACGGCTAAAAATAATATTTTCCTCACTTGACTGCTCATAATTACAGATGGGGTACAACAACAAGAACTCATAATTAAAACAGTGTAAAAAAGGGTAAATATTTTAATACGACTTCATTATGTTGTTGTGTTGTTGGCATCATGATCTGAGCTCACTGCAAAGCTGTGTGAATGGAATAGTCAAACCTGGCTCCAGTTCTGGGCGGTGTCGTGGAATCGTGCTACAGTATGGAACGGTATGCCCCCAGCATATAGGAACAGATGTTAGCTCATGAATCTTGAGCCAAGAATCTGTGAGTCATTACAGCAAAATCCCTGCCTTCAACACGGACAAAAGTCTTTGAGACAATGTCAACGAGTGAAACATGGAAAAGGGAAGAGCTCAAAATGACAGGCAGAAATATGGATGAAAACAGGAGGGATTACTAGATGGATGGACGGATGGGTGACGAGGCAGGTAGGTGTAGCAGAACGTTCAGGAGTAAATTCAGCTACTACACGTTAGCATTATAAGCAGTATTGAGGATACAGGTCTATGTCACACACTGTGACAGTTTTGGTTTCATACAGATTACAAATAGACTTCTGTTAATAAAAAAAATTAAATAAATATGTATAACACTTAGTCATTCACATATTTATTTAAAGCCAACCTAAAGAAGTATCATTGGTGGCATGCAGTATTGGTGAGTACAAAAATGAAAATACTTGTACTCATATACATTCGTTTTGTGATATTGGGACAACTTCATTGTGTACTGTTTCTTCAGTAACAATAATAATTCTCACGTCTGTCTCTACTGCCCATGTACACACCCTCCCCCCCCCCCCCCACACGCACACACACACACACACTCCAGTGAAAGGAGAGGCCCAATAGAAAGCAAAGCGATGCTGATTGAATGAAGAGGCCCAAAAGAAAGCAAAGCGATGCTGATTGAATGAGCCAGTGTCTCATCAGTGAAATATGTCTGACTTGGCTGGGTTTCACCAAAGAAAAAAAAGGCCTTTGAGTGCAAGTGCATACTGACTCTACTTCCCATGTTGCAAACACCCCCCTTTTTTCACTCTCATTAAACTCACGTTGATTACAGGATCAACACTTACATGTTAATTGTGTAATTTGTTTTGCATCAATAAAATGTGTCTTTGTGACATTTACTGTTGCATTTTATGGAAATATAATAAACCTCCTTGTCCTGTGAGTGATTAAACAGATTCTACCTACATACATAAGAACTCGGGATTTATATTTTACTTCACAGCAAAGGAACTAATTTTATTGTAAAATTGGCTGTCAGTTGTTCCACATTTTATTTCCATAAATAATTAGATCAGGTGAGGAATAGTCTCCTGCAATTTGTACTTTCACCACTAGGTGTTACTAATTCCTACACGAGTACACAATTGCAGAAGCTTAAGAAAAGGCAAGCAAAGTTTAGGGTCCATCATCCATCCATCCATCCATCCATCCATTTTCATCCACTTATCTATTACCAGGTCACGGGGGCAGCAGTCTCCATGACCGCCACCCAGATCACACGGCACCGTACCAACCCCCCTGAACCTTCCTGCAGGTGGTGAGTCCACTGGAAGGTACCAACCACCCTAACTGGGATTCCAGAAGGTGAACCCTGGGGTTCCACACCAATGACAGAGACATTGCCTCTTGGCCAAATCGCCACTATAGTTTAGAGTGAAGTTGTGATTTACTGGAAATACTTCTGATTTTATTTTTATTCAGTTTTTCTATATATTTTTTTTCTAAACCACTGTGACCTCATGTGCTTGATTTAAATTCTACTAACTTTTCCTGAAGACTAATTTCTTCTGCTGGAAGTCACACAGAGCATCCATTGACTCATACTATTTGAACAACTAATTCTTTGCTGCTACTGTTGGTTGCTTTTAACCACGGCTTTTACACAGTTTTCTTTTAAAGTAATTCTGAATCTGCTACTAATGAATGAACGTATTAATCCATCTAAGGAAAAGAAATGAGCATTGTTACTTTTTCTTTTGGCCATGTTACAATAGTAAACCTCAGACAAGAAAATTAAACCAGAGAAAAGTAAATTTGATAAATTGAGAAATATTTTCAAATACTACTTATAAATAAATAATGATAAAAATAAATAATTGGTTTGAAGTGTGTTGCACTGCAAAAAACGACAATAAGTCGGGGCACCGTTAAAACCAGCATTACGTCATAAAAATAAGCATATCGTTAACATGGACAATGTCTCCCTCTAGTGTCTGAATGACACAATCACACAGAAATTCATTTATTCGAATAGTTTGAAGTAAAAACAAACGTAATAAAATGTCGTGTTTTTGACATTTGAACTGCAAATATAGAAGTTTACATTTCCATTTATTACATCTATTAACATTTCGGTTTTTGTTGCAAATAATTTTAAAAAAGAGGAAAAAAATACTTCAACATCCGCATTTGTTTTTGGTCCAAAAGAAGCTTTATACTTCAACATTTGTTTTTGGTCCAAAAGAAGCTTTATAATATTTTATACAAGCTGTCAAAATGGACAGTCATCATGCATCTTAAACTCCAACATCTGCAGTAAAATCAAATAAAATATCCAACTCCCATTTTCTCTATTTTGATGCTTATATCAAACCCATACTCAAGAGGATTACTTTGAAGTTATTTACTTTTAGTTTGCAATAGTACAGCAAACTGGTGGTAGAATTAATAATTCGAACACAAAATGTATTTATATTTCTACAGTAGGTAAACCAGGTGTGCCTAATATTTTGACCAGTATATAAGAATGTGTAAATCACTAACACACCAAATAATGCCAGCTCATAGCCACACTGTAGTAGTCAGCCCTAATGACATTGACATTATGAATGGAAAGAACGTGTTCATTGATTTAATATCGCGCTTCCAAAACGTTTATTCTTCAGCCAACTGTGGTGCGAAGAAAACAGAAGACCCGCCTATCTTTCTGCCTCTGTTTGGGTCAGAATGAAGCATGTTTGCAGAAGATTGGTCAAAGCCAGAGGGACTTACCACAATTAACCAATTAGAGGTTGACAAGGGCGGGTCTTCCTGTCAGTAGGGTGGAGAAAACGTTTGTGTGACTAGGTGGAGAAACTCACCTCAGAGATACCCTAATCAAATAACTAAATACTGCATTGACGGCAGGCTTACAATGAGAGATATACCGCAGAAGTGGAATAATTAAGTGGCCGACATATTAGTATACTCAAGTAAGTTGGACAAAGTGATTTCTTGGGTTTGTCACCGGTTTACTAAATAGCTAACATTAGCACTGGCTAACTAGCTAAACAAAACAAGCATGATACACTGTGAATATATGAACCTGATTTGATCCATTTGGTTGGTACATGATTGTAATAGGCATATACCGGTTTTGTCTGCATTGCACGGGACTCTTCTTTAATGACTATATTATTATTGTTGATAATAAAAGCTAACTCGACGGATTTGCGAACCGAAACGATAGTTGACAACAACGTCAAGCTGTTGTCAGAACAGGACATATAGTAATTAACTGTAGTAAATTGGTATTCGCCGAAGTGTCACAGCTGTTTTTAAGTTTTTGATTGTTTAGTATTGGCACGTTTTTCACTTTTTTTCCTGCTGGTCTCCTTGAAGGAAAGGCCATCCTCATGGTTAACATGTCCGGCACAGCCACTGTGCTGCAGCAGTTTGTCAGTGGGCTGAAAAGTCGAAATGAAGACACCAGAGCAAAGTCTGCCAAAGACCTCCAGCATTATGTGACCACAGAACTCAGAGAGGTAATTGAAAACATGTGCTCAAACATAGTAAAGCATTACTACAATGGAAATTAGCTAGTAAAGTTTTGACATGGGTGGAATGAGGGACAAAAGTGTTGTCTTTTGCTCACATCGCTTGTACATTATCACAAATTTGATAGATGCTGTGCTGGAGCTTGTATTAATGGATTGTTGGAAATTATGAAAGTGTCAAGTATGAAATATTTTTGCAATGTATTTACATTTTAATGACAGTTTGACTGCATTTAGTAAATCCAGTAAATGTAATACACTTAATGTCTCCTTGTTCCAGATAATCATCATTGAGAACCATTGATTCACAAGTTATTTTTACCAAATGTTACAGTTAAATGCATTCCTAAGTTGTAAAACAACCACCTGCCACAAATACTTGACAATTACTTGTAATTACTTACATGTTAATGTACAAAAATTACTTTGTTAGTTCTGTGCTATCTTCATTGAAAGTTAAGAAGAAATAACTGTGTGTTTTGTGTTAAAATCTCAGGTATACTTTTTTGTCAGGATTGTGTCAGCATTTACCACAAAAAAAGTGTATTTCTGGTTTGAAAATGTTTATTTAGTGGAGAGAGTTAGGTTAGGACCATTGTCGTTAATTATGTGCTAAATATTCGCCAATGTATGCAATAAGTATCTGTTGTTAAGGTTATTAGACCACCTGCCATTTTATAGTAAATGAACATTTACCATTTTGTGTGTTTATGTTCACTTTTGAAGCTATTTCTAGTGAGGATTTTGAAATATTGTTTTAATCCCATTCACAGTTGAGCCAAGATGAAGCCACTACGTTCTATGACGAGTTGAACCACCACATATTTGAACTGGTATCCAGTTCAGATGTGAATGAGAAGAAAGGAGGAATTCTTGCTATAGGTATAATATTTCTAAATTAAATTAATTGTATTAGTTTAAAAAAAACCAAAAAACTCCCCGCCTGTATCTTCTGAAACTGCGTGTAACTGACTTCAATTGTTACAGTGAGTCTGATTGGAGTCGAGGGAGGCAATGCCACCAGAATCAGCCGTTTTGCGAACTACCTGCGCAACCTGCTGCCCTCCAGTGACCCGGTGGTCATGGAGATGGCCTCAAAAGCCATGGGTCACCTGTCCATGGCTGGAGACACCTTCACTGCTGAGTATGTGGAGTTTGAAGTGAAAAGAGCCCTGGAGTGGCTGGGAGCAGACAGAAACGAAGGCAGACGCCATGCAGCAGTGAGTGACCTTCAGGCAAATGTTTGCGTATGGAATGCTGTATCATGTTGTTGATGTGTATGCGCTGCACACATGAGGGCAGAGTTGCTCTGTTTTGTTTTTATAGCACAGGAGTGCAGTGTGTTGAAAGTTGAAACAAAAGTGTCTTATAGTGATCTGACCAACAATAACTTTATTATTAACACCTTTTTTCCATTCAAAGATTACATGAGCATGGTTTTCTAGCCTGACTGTGGACTTTCTTTTTCTTCATTGCTTTGTGGTTGTTATTAAGTAACACGCTTAATTTAAAGTCAACTTAACTGTCAGTTCAATCTCATGTGCGCAGAACATACAGATGATTGACATTGTGATGCTCTAAGTCGAAGGATATAAATTATATAGAAATATAATTTCTGTGAACATCAACTAAAAACAATAACATAGGTTTATCAATACAGCTCACAACAAGTGCACAACACAGTGCAGATCAAAGTGAATGATAGAAAATGATATATTAAGGCATCTGGTTGGCATACAACAGATGATGATCGTAATAATTACAGTAAAATAAGGTTTGTGGCCATTATCCAACAGGGTGAGATGATGATAAACAACTTAAAGCATGTGGTAGATCCGTAACAGGTTTAATGAGTAATGTTACCAGTTATTTACCAGCTATTTACCAGCTCTGTTAAATCTGCATGTAGACATAACCGCTCTATTGTCTACGTGCAGCTTGGTCTGTTTACGATTATGTGTCTGTTTATGTTTGTCGTATTGAATGTATCCTTTAACACACGTTTTCATCTCATATATCTCTCATACATATTCTGAATCTATGTATATTTTTTATTTTTATTTTAATTACTCATGATCTTCTAGTACTCCCTTTGTGCTCTACTTATTGGGTTTGATGTGTGTGTTATAAAGTTTATCATCAGTGATTCCAACTCCAAACCTTAATGTGTTTGTTCCAGGTGTTGGTCCTGAGGGAACTGGCTGTGAGCGCTCCAACCTTCTTCTTTCAGCAAGTGCAGCCCTTTTTTGATAACATCTTCTATGCAGTCTGGGATCCAAAGCAGGCCATTCGAGAGGGAGCTGTGTCGGCCTTGAGAGCCAGTCTCATCCTCACCACCCAGAGGGAGACCAAGGAAATGCAAAAACCTCAGTGGTACAAAGTACGACATATAATCCCATAATCGTGCTTCATTTTGTTAAAATGTTTTACTCTTCCTGTTGGAGAAAATGTTGTGATTACATTTTTGTGCTAATAGCAAACCTTTGAAGAGGCAGAAAAAGGCTTTGATGAGACTTTAGCAAAAGAGAAAGGTATGAACCGAGACGACCGGGTCCATGGTGCTTTACTGATTCTCAATGAGCTGGTTCGCATCAGCAGTATGGAGGGAGAGGTGAGCAATGACTTTAACAGATGGCACATTTTCTCAGGAGAAAAAACAACATTGATTTTCATCGTCTTACACCATTTGACAGCGTATGCGTGAGGAGATGGAGGAGATCACGCAGCAACAGTTGGTTCATGACAAGTACTGCAAGGAACTGATGGGGTTTGGAACCAAACCCAGACATATTACACCGTTCACTAGTTTCCAGTCTGTGCAGCCCCAGCAGTCGAATGCCCTGCTGGGCTTGTTGGGCTACAGCACACCTCAGGGTTTCCTCAGCTTTGGAGCTTCACCAGTTCCTGCCAAGAACAACCTGGTGGAGAGCAGATACTGTCGAGAGCTGATGGAGGATCGATTTGAACAGGTAGGGTGCCATGGAAGGAGGGCTGGGTGGCGAATCTTATATTTATCAGTTTTTAGTGGGGATTCAGTTTTATAGAAGCAGATGAGCTTCAAAACAATGTGTTAAAACCAAAAGTGTGTTGAACTGCATGCATATATCATCACAATATTCTGCTGCAGGTCTGTCGATGGGTGCTGAAGTACAAAACCAGTAAAAACCCCCTGATCCAGATGACCATCCTCAGCCTCCTCCCGCGCCTGGCAGCTTTCCAGCCCCACACGTTTACAGGTGAGACTCATTTGTTGTTGGAACTTACATCTGACTAAATCATCTTTTAAATATGTAGCACAAAACTTTCCTGGGCACAATCATCTTTTCTTGGGATAACAAGTTGTTGTTTTCTTTGTCTACCATACAGACCAGTACCTCTCTGACACGATGGGTCACCTGCTGGGCTGTCTGAAGAAGGAAAAAGAGAGAACCGCAGCTTTCCAGGCCCTGGGACTGCTGGTTGTTGCTGTCAGGACAGAAATCCAACCGTACCTGACAAAGATCCTTGAGATCATTAAAGCTGCTCTGCCACCCAAGGATTTTGCACACAAGTCAGTAAAGACCATTTTTACTGAACTATTCTTTGATACTTTTATGTTAGTTTATCGAGCGTGTCAAGACTCTAAAGTGTAGGTTACACTTTCTTTATAACACACCTTTTGTTTATGTTATGTTGCAGGAGGCAGAAGACCATGCAGGTGGATGCCACTGTGTTCACTTGTGTCAGCATGCTGTCCAGGGCCATGGGTCCCAGCATTCAGCCAGACATTAAAGAACTGCTGGAGCCCATGCTGGCTGTGGGCCTTAGGTAATGAACAAACCAATGTCTGTGTTTAATTTTGGGCCTGCATAATAAAAAAGGTTTCTTTAATAACAGTTATACAGCTATGGAATATTTCCCTGGTCTTGTTTGTTGACAATCGCACATTGATTAATTTCCTTGTCCAATTATTATGTTTTCTATTTGTTCTTTTAATAGTCCTGCGTTGACTGCAGTCCTGTACGACCTGAGCCGTCAAATCCCCCAGCTGAAGAAGGACATACAGGACGGACTCCTGAAGATGCTGTCTTTAGTGTTGATGCACAAGCCACTGCGTCACCCGGGCATGCCCAAAGGTCTGGCTCACCAGCTGGCCTCGCCAAGCCTCACGAACATCCCAGAGGCCAGTGACGTCGGCAGCATCACACTGGCTCTGCGGACGTTGGGCAGCTTTGAATTTGAAGGTGAGTCTTTGTGGAAAACATTCAGGATGGAAAGAACTGAAAACGCAAACACTGATAAGTCCACCATGGGGCTCTTAGGTATTCCATAGAAAAGATTAGATTTTTCTGCAGAATCTACATGGCAACAGTTCTGTTTTTACTGCATCAGACTGGAGCTTCTCACATGCATTGGTATTACATCCAGATGATCATGTAAACCAGAGCAAACTGCTGTGAATCAGACACTCGACTGAGCAGTTGGTTAAAAGACTTAATTGTTTCCCCCCATTTACCCACTGTTTAAAAATGGTGTTCTTTTTCTCCCAGGGCACTCTCTTACCCAGTTTGTGCGCCACTGTGCTGATCACTTCCTGAACAGCGAACATAAGGAAATCCGCATGGAAGCAGCTCGCACCTGCTCCCGCCTCCTCACCCCCTCCATCCACCTGATCACTGGCCACGTTGTGAGCCAGACGGCTGTGCAAGTGGTCGCTGATGTGCTCAGCAAACTGCTGGTGGTTGGGATCACTGACCCAGGTGATTGATGGGAATATGAAGACAGAGAAGAGAAGAAGGAGACGAGTATCGTGTGGATTTGTTGAATTTGTTTTTGGATTACATTTTGTTCACTTAAAGATATTAAGTAATCAAGTATGGTGCAATTGTTGCGTAAGAAAATATTAGAAAGCATGCATTTGAAAAGATTGATTTAAAAAACAAATGATGGAGAAAGTACTTCATTATCCTGTTTCCCTGTAGATCCCGACATCAGATACTGTGTGTTGGCGTCCCTCGATGAGCGCTTTGACACTCACCTCGCCCAGGCTGAAAATTTGCAGGCGCTGTTTGTTGCACTGAACGATGAAGTGTTTGAGATTCGAGAGCTGGCCATCTGCACCATCGGACGACTCAGCAGCATGAACCCTGCTTTTGTCATGCCCTTTCTGCGCAAGATGCTCATCCAGGTAGATTTGTATTTGTCTACACATTGGTCAAATACTGATTATTTTACGTGTAGTTCTTCCTTCAGCACATCTCTGTTTAGTGTTGTTGTTTCACCTAAATACCAAAAGAGGGCACAGTTGGACAATTATTTAGCGGAACTCAAACGTCTGTTGTTGTCGTGCTGTATACCACCAAGCTAGAATAGATTCAAAATATATTTTTATTATATATATTTCCTTTGTCCAGTGATTAAGTATAAATATATCTCTTCAAGTTTGAAGTGCATAACAATATAATAGTGTAACTAAATAAAACTTTGTGTGTTGCAGATTTTGACCGAGTTGGAACACAGCGGTGTTGGCAGAAACAAAGAACAAAGCGCTCGTATGCTCGGTCACCTGGTCTCCAATGCCCCCCGCCTCATACGTCCATATATGGAACCCATTCTTAAGGTTAGATTATATTAGTGTACTGTATTAATGTTCTATGTTGTTTTTCTGGAAAATTGCATGAGGACCAAAGTGCACTTTGCTTGAACAAGGAAACTCTGAAATCAGTTCCAGCCTAATTCCCTGCAGCCTTTTCACCAATTCCCTGTTATGTTCAATGTGAAACAGAAATGGGTTATGAGCCGCAAAAAACCTCTCTTACCTTTTTATTCCACACAGGCACTTATCCTCAAACTGAAAGACCCAGATCCCAACCCTGCAGTTGTCATCAGTGTCCTTGCAACCATTGGGGAGCTAGCTCAGGTAAGTTTACTTCATAAAACTTCACAACTATGCAAATGTTTGTATATGTTTACACGTCAATGAGCATTGAATGAATAATGATATTGATATATGATAATCATAATTCATTTAGATGAATTTAGATATTCCAAACAATGACAGAAACCTTTTTGGTGTATTATTGGAATAGTAATACATCACACCTTTTTTTGTCACTAATTCAAATAATGGAATTACTAATATAAAAAAAATAAAAAAGTTATGCAAAGGTTTATGATTTAAAATTTAGTTTCATCATGTTGGTGGATTTTAATCATTACTGTGGATCTTGACAACGGCTGGTAGGACATGTGGAGAGCTTCTGTCAAACTTTCAGTCAAGCTGTTGTCCTTAACAATATTAATCAGACTATTGACAGTTGTGTCAGTGGGCTTGATAGCTGTAGATACCGTTTTTGCCCTGAGCTTGGTGTGACTGGTCTGATGCAAGATCAGTTTTGCTGCAGTGTAAATAACAACATGTGTATTGATAGTGTAAGATCAATGAATGGAATGAAAGTGTGTTAAAATGCATTTTTTTTATCTGATTAATTTCACCTTATGATATTGCGGTTAAGGCATTAAATCTTTTTTTTTTTTAATGCAAACAAATACTTTGACAATTTTATCATTTCTTGTGACTAACAAAAAAACTTCACTATTGGTCTCTACTTGTAAGTATTGTCCAAAAGGCTGACATGTTATTTTAGGAAACAAAAATAAGTAGTTCATCAACTAAAGATTCAGAATATTTGAAAAATTAATTCAAATAATTACTCACCTTTTTCAGGTGAGTGGTCTGGAGATGCGGAAGTGGATGGACGAACTTTTCCCAATCATCATGGACATGCTGCAAGACTCCTCCTCATTGGCCAAGCGTCAGGTATGTGATTGTGTAATTGTTTCTTTCACCCAACTCTGGTTACCTTGGCCTATTTTTTAAAACATTTACAAATCAATGTTTTTTAAAAGCACTTTGTAATTTTTATGTCCATTTACAATATAGAATAACATCAACCATAAAATATTACACAACCTTTAATGTGTTTGTATCTTTTTATTTTTCCACCAGGTGGCGCTGTGGACCCTCGGTCAGCAGGTGGCGAGCACAGGCTATGTGGTGGAGCCTTACCGCAAGTACCCTTCTCTTCTGGAGGTGCTGCTCAACTTCCTGAAGACAGAACAGAACCAGGGCATCAGGAGAGAGGTATGGACAGACGGCTGAAAACTTCACTTTCCAGTGGTTTAAGACACATGAAACCTAAGTCTTCATTATGTTCCTCAGTGTGAGGCCAGATGCTCTGTCCATCATCATATACTAAACAAACAACCATCATGTTGTAAGGTTGACCTGTTAATAAAAAGCGAACAAAGGCGTACAGTGTAATGTGTGATGTAAGAACTTTATGTGAGTATACGGTGACGGGCCGCGGAGTACACTATACACCGCATGTATATTTGCTTTGGAAACTCTCACACTTTGTTTCCTCTGTGTGATGGATCTGAAATTTGATTGGACTAATCGTCCAAGGGCAGCCACAGTTAGTCGAAAGTTTATTTCCCGCCGCAGCCTCCAGCATCAGTAAATTTTGCAGGTTCCCTTGTGTAGTTAAAAGAGTCATTGAAAAAATATCTGACTCCTAGTGCCGTATAAACATGAGGTAGATGTCAGCTCCTGTGGAGATGTCTCTGTGCACCGCTTCCTGAAGTCAGTCTGGATTTACTGTCCTCACTGTCGATCCCAGTGGAGACTCATGGTCAGTGGAAAAGTGTCATAACATCCAACAGAGCTTCTCATACAAGTCAGGCCGTTTTGGAAACACAGAACTGCTCTGAGAGTTGTTTTGAGTCTATTTTTGAGCAAGTAAATATAACGCTGTCAGAAACTAATAATATAGTAATTCTGCTTCTCTGTCTGAGCTTAAGGGATGAGGGTTGACTGTAAATGTTGTCATTCTTGTCTGTCGGTGGTTAATTCAGATTTAAGCATCTGCTAAAGAGTAGAAGAAGAAGAATGGTGTTTTATAGTCATTGTACAAATCTATACCTCTAATAACAAGCCCTGTCTAACAGACAGCGTTGTCTGTGTGTAGGTAGGTTTGGATACCACGTTTGATTGACAGCTGGTTCACCAAGTTCACAGAGTGCCTGATCACAGTGTATCTTGGTTGACATTTATCTAACCCAGCAGTTGTGTGGTCAAAGCTGTCAGTCAAGTGCGCTGGCCAATCACATTTGTGCGGCCAGATATACAACATTGTTTGTTTTGTATTTTGTTTTCCCTTAATACAATTATAAATGGCACGGTTTGACATTATGTTTGTTATAGACGAATGTCTTTGTCTTCTTCAGGCCATCCGTGTCCTGGGTCTCCTCGGAGCTCTGGACCCCTACAAACACAAGGTTAATATCGGCATGATTGACCAGTCACGAGATGCCTCTGCCGTCAGCCTCTCGGAGTCAAAGTCAAGTCAGGACTCAGGTACGTTTGTGTGTGTTTTTTACAGTGACATTTCACCACGAGTCTGACTATGAATAAGGAAAAAATATTTTATGTTTTTAATTCTCAGTGCAACAGCTGGAAAGTCTCACAGTGAGATCCTGTCCACCGGGGGCCCTTCAGGCCGTGAATGTGCTTTTTGTCTGTCTGTGTTAGTAATAATGGATTGGCTTGTTTATAGCAGACTTATAGTATTATTGTGTCCTTGGGACAACTTAGATTCACCACAATGGAATTTCTGAGGACTCCTCAAGCAGCTAGATTTTCTCAGGGGCAGATAAACCCCCAAAGTTGAGGTAATTTTATTTAATAAAATATTGTAATGCTTTTTATAAAAGTTGGTTATCAAAGAAACTATATTTTCCCTTAGAAATGGAGGATACTGTGTTTTTGTCTTTTTGTTCCGACCATCATAAATCCATCTCTGGACTAGAAACACTTGTGGGTTGTGTCTAAATATCCAGACAGGACTTGGCAGTACAACTTGTTAGAGATAGACAGTGATGTCATTTACTAGAACAACCACATTCAGTTTCACGGACCTCAAAACTTAACCAGAGACAGTTGATACGTTAGATGGTTTCATTTCACTGGTAATTAGAAAAGCTATGTGAGATGTAAACCTAGAAGTTCACAGATTATTTCATTCTCTACTTAATCAGCTTCAGTCGCATGTTTGATTGAGAATAATAATTGTCATATCAAACAAGAGGAAATATCCCCTGTTGTTAAAAGCATTAATTCACAGACCGAATCCCCTCAGTTGGTTACCACTGATTTCTTTTTTAGCCTTTAAGTGTTGCTGGTTTTTCTACCAAAGAGTTCTAATTCAAGAGTCCATGTCCATTTAAATATAGTTTATTCTGGAACGCCAAGAGAACATATGGCTCCACACAACCTGTGTGGTCAGGGTTCCTGCGGGTCCTTAAAAAGTCTAAAAACGCATTAAATTGAATTAAGGCCTTTATTGGCATTAAATGTCAGAAATCAGTCATTTCAGAGTCTTAAAAATGCCAAAACATATTTTGTTAATCAACTCACCAGTTCATTAGTAGTGATGGAACAGTGTGTTAAATGAACCAGAGTTCTCCGTTTAACTGTCTAATGTTCTTTTATGTATATTTAACTTCATCATTAGAAATGAAGAGAAATGTTGATTTCACTGAACTCAAATGACTGTAAATGTAGATGTTCCTGCCACAGACACTTTTGTAGATGTTTCAGAAACTGTTGATGCCCAAGAATATCCTTGCATAACAGTGATGAACCCCAAGTTGACACGTATTCAATATTGATAATCAGCTGCAGCGAACCTCTGAGCAGAGGAGCAGCCAAATGAGCGAGCACACTCTGTGGAAGAGTCTGTGGTTAGAACACAACAAATTCCTGCTCAAATTTTTGTCTTTAATCAAAATGTGATTGCTCTTCAGAGAACCTCAATGCATATTCAATTATCTGACTTGTTGAATCTGGCACACACAGAGCAGCGAAGAAAACACTGTCTGTCCAAAAAAACACTTGTGATGATCAGTTACAGTTTGGCTGTGATACATGATGTGAATCTACAGCTCATTTGTAGAGCACAGAGGTCATCAGTCATCATGACTTGGTTCTGGAGAGGAGAGGGTCCTGACTTTGTAACTGAAGATTTTCCTCTGAGTTAGTGATTGGTGTGATTCTTGATTTCTTTTTTTTTTTGGGGGGATCTTATTTCTAGCATGTCTCTGATCTAGATCCAGTCCAATCTTCAGAGTGAGGCTCTGTCAGTTCAGAGGCAAATATAACAACCTTTCATATTTTAAAACTGGAGATATTTAATTCAAGTTGGCCGACTTTGGAGAGACTCAAATCTTTTGTGTTGTCTATGGTTTGTAAACCATTTAAAGTTGATTTAATTTGTTGCAGTGTTTATTGGCTCACATTCTCCCATCAGCCTTGTCCTTTATTTATTTCTGTTCGTTGAAATCTGTTGTTGGTGTAGTTGTTGTAATGACCCTTCAGAACAAAATGAATCTGACAGAACAGAAGCAGATGCGTCGGTATGGACAGATACATTTATCCTCCAATACTGTCATTACTTACTATGTTTTATATCTGTGTCATTTTCTCTGCCAGCGGGCTTCCTACAGGGTCGAGCTTTCATCCTGTCAGATTAACTCTAGAATGCAGCATCTAAAAACACTTCTACGTGTTGAAACCGGTCTCTAGGTTACGGTGGCTACGTCGACTATTTTCAGTTACAACCAAAGAGAGGACAGAGATGTGATCGCTGTTTTTACAGTTAGGTTCTTGGGCTAAAAAAAAAAACCCCACCATAAAAATGTGAATGCATCCTTTGTTGACAGATCATGTCACATTAATTTAAAAGGATTTTACATACCCTGTCATTTTTAGCATTTGGAACACTGCCGTCATTCCCAGGGTTTTGAAAAAATGATATCAGCCACAATAAAAGTGCTCATGTGAATAGTGTTTGAGGAGTGCCATCTCCATTCTTCTGATCCAGCCATGTGTCTAAGTATGTGACCTTGGACGATTTGGTAATAGCTTTACCAGTTTGTTCCTCAAATAAATGGACTGTGACCAGAATTGGAAGCTGTATATCTGTTGGCAGATCTGTCACAGTCTGACTGTGTGTGTGTGTCTGGAGCGTGAGCGTCTCCTTTGGCAGCACATACAGTATTTTGTGATGTGGGAGGTCACTGGCTCAGTCCATCTTCTCACCTGACTTCAAACAAAACCAATCATGTCACGACTGAACATTAGTCTCGTAAAACCCAGGAAATGATGTGTGTCCTTTCTTAGAATTTTTTTTTTCCCTTCTCTGCATCTGTAGGCCAAATTTCTGGAATACAGTTGCCACATTTACTGTATGTTTGTGGTGTTTGAAAGTATCAATTATTGTTTTGTTTTTTTCTATCTGTCAGTGTCAATAATCTAGACACAGTGATGTTGTAATAAAAAAGAAGCTGAGATAAAAGTGCGTTAATCAGTGCATTTCTGCAGACCTACAGTAAAATGCTGGACGTCTGTATTCTCACATGTCTTGTAAAACTGCAGACCTCTGTGGACACACTGAACCCATTTACATTACAAAACCTTCATAAAGCCACTTGTGCAAAAATGAAATATCTATTATAAATGTTAGAACACTACTGCTAAGTATCTGAGCATCAAAGCCAAACCCTGGTGTCTAAAAAAAGGGTTTGTGTTATTGATGGCTGTAATGATGCATGTCATTACTTTTTATGTCAAACTTAAAATTTATCAGGCATTTAGAACAACATTGGATACTTTAGAAGAAAATTTACTTTTGCTACTGGGGCAAAGATAAAATATGATTCAGGAATGTTGGGTCAGTTTTATATTTTTGAACTGTCTGAACTCTGCAGACACTAAACCACCACTAAAATACTTTTTACACTGGAAATTTTGATTATTATATTTTTTTACTAATTAGATGCTCAGTAAGTTGACATGGTCTGTGAAAATTAATGTGTTAATTGGGTTTAATAATTTGTCAAGATTAGGCTTATTCAAAACTGATAATTGTCTGATCACTTTGAGTGAGAAGTTTAATTAAGTTTGAGTGATTTTCAACTTCCTCAGTGTTTATATGTGACAGTGGCACTGAACTGAAAATACAAAAATCCATAAATGTGTGTGTATATATATATATATAAAGACCCTTTGCATAAGTACTGTGTTTTCCACTGTTTCAGTTTATATCACAATATACTATATTTTCGGACATAACAAAAAGATTTTATGAAGATAAAATATATTTAACCACTATGGAACTTCTATTTTTGATCTCACAACCTAGGTCAAATCGATGCTTTACTTTTGGAATTGTTGTTTGTTCAAGAAATGAAGAGTTAACTGCCTCAACCAGCCAACAATATTTCTAAGTCCTAGGGCTCTCATCTCATAAAAATCCATTATGGATGTCAGCCTTGTGGCCAACACCAGCAGATTTTTTAGGTGTATTTATTCTGGAAAGGACATCCTTATTTGGCTAGTAGAGGGAGGGGCTATAAATCACTGTTAATGTAAAGCTTGCACACCGGAGAATTATTGCCTCCCTAATGGTCTTAGAGAATCATGATAGCACAGCTATTAATCCTGCATGTTCACAAGAGTTTGGCCAATGGGATTGTGGCTGGGATATGATTTCCAGCTATAACGTCATCTCCAGTCGTCATGTGAGGTGATCAGGTGGAAAGAAAAGACAAAAAAACAAAAGAAGTTTAAGGTTTTATTCTGGAGAATATGACAGAGGCGACTAGTGCTCACTGGTATTAATGTATATTTCACATGGTAAATGAATAACAATCAAACTCATGTGCATTCACATGCCACATACAGCTCATACGTAAAGTTTAATAAGTCACAGTGAGATCATTGAACATGCTGGAAAATCCATAATACTTCTATGGAATATATATATATATATATATATACATATAAATATATATTTACTGCTACTCATCCATGTCTCCAATTACTTTTTAATGAATTAGTCATGGGGAGCTGTGGACTAATTACATTTAATGAAGAATAATCATGTTTAATTAAGATAAATCAAGTATGACCAAAGAATGTTTTTCTGTATTTCCTGTATTTTGCTGGAACTGAAAGACAAATAACAGCAAGTAGATGTATGTGGTTCACATCTGTTTGTATTTGTGACTAATTCAAATGATGAGCTTATTAATATGGAAAATGTCAAGAAAAATATGCACAACTAAAACTGAAAAAGTTAGCTTCATAGAGTTGGTGGTTTTTAGTAATCACTGTGCATTATGACTGTGGCTTGTAGAATTATGGTTAAGCATTTGCCCTCAACAATCAGTCCATGGTCCCTTGCAATCCATTCAGCAGCTGGCTTGTAGATTTCCTTGCTCTTTTGAGCTCAGTGAGACTGGTTTGATACAAACCAGGTGTAGCTAATTAAGATGGTATTTTTAACTAAATTGTTTTTTTCCACAGAATGTATTAGAGCAAGGACAAAGTTGATTAGATGTTGAATTAGAGTGGGCAACATTCTGCCTATGATTTAAAATGTTTTAAAATGTTTAATCTGCTTTTTTTTCACAAAATAATTATACAGCAATAATGATTAACTTCTTTGACAGACTTAAAATAAGCAAACTCCTCTACATCTACAGTAGGTCTGGACATGTCTTTATGAAGTAGTGGTTTACTTTACATCATGATCTGATGACTGAGAGTGATGTAGACAAAAAGTAAAAATGTGTGTTTTCATGCTTTTCTTTTTTTTTTTCTTTTTTTTTTAGCCGACTACAGCACCAGTGAGATGCTGGTGAACATGGGTAACCTGCCCCTGGATGAGTTTTACCCCGCAGTGGCCATTGTCACTCTTATGCGTATTCTGAGAGACCCTTCACTCTCCAACCACCACACTATGGTGGTGCAGGCTGTAACCTTCATTTTCAAGTCTCTGGGCCTCAAGTGTGTTCAGTTCCTGCCCCAGGTTATGCCCACTTTCCTCAATGTCATCCGAGTGTGTGATGCCAGTATTAGAGAGGTGGGTTGTTCTCTGCTGAAACAAAAGCAAATAGCCTTTTGGTTGTTTACTGTGTTTACATGATCTCTTCTGTTTGTTTCCCGGCAGTTCCTTTTCCAGCAGATGGGAATGGTGGTGGGTTTCGTCAAGATCCACATCCGGCCCTACATGGACGACATCTTCACCCTCATCAGAGTGAGTTACTTTGGAACACAACCTCTCTGTTTTCTCTCCCACCTTTCCACCTTATCCCCAAAACAGGAATCCTCCAGCTTCTCAGTGTGTCAGGCAAACAGCTGCACATTTTTAATTGCTCTCAGTTGTGGTCTTCACCTTCCTCATCAGGCTCAGTGCACAGAAACACACACATCCTGTGAGGTGTACTGCTCAACTGTCATCATTAAAGATGCAGTGGGATTGAAACAACAAGAGAATGCCGTTGTTTATATTTGGATTATGTGCTAAGGTTCCCTTCTAGTGTTTCTAATTGTAACCAGCACCATTGCAGTGACATTAACTCCTTCTGGAGAAAGGTTTAAAGAAAACTGAACAAATTCACCTCCAGCCTGTCTGTGTTAATAAATGGCAAGCGAGACAAAGAATCTATTCATTTTTTTGCTCTGACTTTCAGATGAGAGGCTGGAATAGCCATTCAGGATGTACACTCACTCACATTCTAGTCATCTGCCCAGGGAGGGAAAAGGGCAGGAAGTTGGGGGCTGCACAAAAAACTCTGGTCACCAAAGAAAAAATAAAACCCCACCTCTGCCAGATTTCACAGCTGAGGCCCATTGACTGATTGACGTATTTCGTGACTTACAGTCTTTCACCTTAACTCCAGTTAGTAGTATCTCCAATGTAAGCAGTCTGTCTGCTGTGTCTGAATTTCTCAAAATCTGGCTCTAAAGCCATCACTGAGACGTGATGTCAAACCCAGTTGACAGGAAATTGTCCCCATTCCTTTGTGTGAATTCTTGCGACTCCTTTTCTCGCTGTCTGTGGCACACAAAAGTCTAAATATCTCTCTCCAACACTCACCTTACTGTTGGAAGCACATATTGACCCAATTCCTCAGACCAGTGTCAAGCTGAGGCACCGTACCAAGGAAAGGTGAATGAGGTAGTGCCTTGGATGTACCCTCTCATACTGTAAAAATTTACAAGCAGAAATTGGACGTTTATTTAAGTCAGCACTTCCTCTAAGTCAGTCAGGTGTGTGAGCTTGTGCACTTCAGAAATATACCTCAAATATTATTGAAGGTTTTGTCGTTCTTCGTGTTGCTAAGTTGCTAATCATGAAGTGAAAACAATTCCTATGGTGAGGTCAGAACGAAGGCTGTTTTGCAGTACTTCTTTATGCTTCTACAATAACAACAGTTTATAGTATGACATCAACTCACCATTTATCTGTGCTATAGGAGTACTGGACACCCAACAACCCAATGCAGAACACCATCATCCTTCTGATCGAGCAGATTGTGGTGGCACTGGGAGGAGAGTTCAAACTCTATCTTCCACAGCTCATCCCCCACATGCTGCGGGTCTTCATGCATGACAACAGCACTGGACGCAGCGTTACGATCAAGGTGAGTGACATTCATGTCAATAATTCATATGAACAAAGAAATCCTCCTATTTAAATAAAAGTTAACAATAAAATATCACAAGTTAAGACGCAATGTTAACAATAGAATATCACAAGTTAAGACGCAATATGTGAATGTATGTCTAGTCCTGAGCCATGCATTTAGTCAAATATTAATACTTGAATATCTGTGGTAACAGGGGTAAAAGAATTTTAAAAATATTGCGATAATTTGTTGTCAAAATTGACAAACCCTAGTAATGAGCCCTGAAGACTGTCAGCAGAGGCTCAGCAAATAAAATGTTTACTAGTTGAAGTTATTGTTGTCGTGAGTGCTGTTTACACAGCAGAGAGCAGGGCGGCCATAAAACTTCAGTCTCATTAAAGACACCAACCCACTTCAAGTGGCGTCATCAGTACTCTTGTGTACATCTAATAACATATTCCCTGGGTATTGCATCACACATTCTGTTTTCCATCCATTTCTTTCATTTTTGTCTTTAGAAAAATGTAATGTGTGGCCCATCTCCAACCTTCTCTTTCAAATGGAGACATTTTTCAATTATTAGACCCTGCTTCAATATGTTTGTCATTATTTTCAGAATACCACACAGCAGCCCAAGGCTATTTTTTGGACGACCACAGTGATAGGTTTTCTTTACTATTTCTGACTTTTCAAACCCTGAAAACTGAGACCAGGCTTCTGATGATGTTTGGAAACACTGACTCAGACCCTGCCTTTGGCTACTGATTGGATCATAAAAGTCACAACACATCTTTCCCTGAGGTGTCATGCTCTTCACATGTGACCCTTTTTTTTAGACAAAAACAAACGGCATCTGCCTGGACCACCAGTGAGCATGCAGTCTACGCACTTTAAAATTCAAGCTGAGTTAAACTAGAAATGCCTGGATTACCTGAAATCCTCAAATCCATTTCTCAGTTGGTTTTCACAGATTTACAACAAACCCTAATTATACTGATACATTTATCAGAGCAGTTGATAAAAAGAGTTATTTTCATATAATAAAAAATATACCAGTACGCTGATACAAAGTACTGATACCACAATGTCTTGTAAATTAAATAAATAAACTGGAAAGCAGTGTTATATTTGTGGCACAGCTCTGTGGGTAATAGGGTGACATGCTGTGTGTGTGTGTGTCCAACCCAAACCACTGTGAGGACACCAGGCAGGAATATGCTGACAGTCAGATTTATTTCCTTCTCATCAACAGAAGACTATTTCAAGCCACAAAGGGATAAATCTTTCTGTGTTGAACTTGAAGTCTTCAGACTGATTCTGATGCGGAGCTGGTTGTGGCACAAAAGATGCCATCTGTTCGCTGTATGGGCATGTTTTTGAGTGTCAAATGGAGCCATATGCCAGTGCACCTCCTGCTCACTGCTCCCCTGTACTGTTTATTTACTATGTGTGTGTTCAAAAAAACTTTTTAGCAATATTTCTGGTTTGCACTTTGCACTTGCTTTAATAAGCTATGCAGGGATTCACTTCCAAGTCTGCCTGAGATCAGATTTCCTCTTACGGGCCTTTTCATTCAGAAATTATATCCTGTGCAGAAAAATAAGAGCAGCAGAATGGTAGGAATGTGTCATGATTGCAGTGGCTGCAGTAACAGGGGTAAACACCGGTAAAATGTTTGCTAAGCTGCTGTAAAATGAGCACATTTGTGCTGCCGTGAGTGTAATTGTCAGGTTAACTAATGCTGTGTGCACATCATTATCTCTCTGCTAAGAGACAGTGTTAATTGTACTGTGCCTGGGTTTACACAAGTAAAAGATTAACTTGTGTGCTAAAGGTTAGTTAAAGTTAACCTTCACATGTATAAGTAAGTTATAGATATATTTACACCTAATTGTATTAATTCTACTGTAAAGTCCTTATAGACTTATTTGAGAAGATTACTCATTTTAAACTCCTTTAAAATGTTGTCTGGCTCAGGAGCTCAGCTCACCTTGATCTTATTGTGCCACTGTTTTCAGTTTATAGTTTTCATCATGTCCACTGAGACCTTTTAAGTCAAAGCTTTTCACTTCTAATAGAGCAGTCCTGTAGCAGTATAGACATACAGGTTAACACACTCTCCTGTTTCAGTTGCCGGTGCCAGGAATTGTCAGATTTTTCTCTCAAATCCTAAATCACACTTTAGGTGGAGAACCACAAAGAAAAAGAGAGTCAAAAGGATCAGGGTCATCTAAATGCTGTCCCACCTCTGCTGCAATTTTGACTTGGAGTCTGCAGTATTAGATAACCCAGTCTGGGCAGCCTTAAACTGGATCTGCAGTCTAATCTGAAGCGCTGAATGGGGTCAAGAAGAGGGGGCGACTTAAGAATTAGGTTACTTACTGATCCCAGCTAGAAGAAAAGAAAAACACACTTCCATCATTTAAAGGTCTGTTCTCCCCAACCTCCCATACCCCGCAGCTCAAACGCACTCTTGTGCCCCTCCACCTCAACTTCCTGCTGTCTCGCCGCCTGCAATTTAGACGTGTGGTTGGAGATAGAGGGGTGGGTTGGTTACAGGGATAGAAACTGACAGCTGTGCGTGATGGGATCTGGGCTTCGTTTGTTGGCTGCGATATACGTCATCCATACAGACTACCTTCGTTCCTCATACACATGCAACACATAGGGCATGTGATGGCTCCACAATTAGGATGGAGAACAGAAACTTTATCCATAAAAATAAACACCAAGTTGTTATTGACATTTTCATCTGACAGCATGTCAAAGATGGCTCATTGAAGTTGAAAACATTGTCTTACTTTCCATAACTTATAATAACATAACACTTGTGCCAAAGTAAATAATAATAATAATGAAACATTTCACTGTTAGCCCTTCACCCAAATTTCAAAAGTCAAAAGAAATTTTAGGAAAACCCTAGAAAGTGCTTGGAAACTGCTGCTGCATTTATTATAGATACTCAAGAATGAAATAGAATATCAGAAAGAGTCAAAATAAAATAAGAATGAATTTATAGCTTTGTTGAGCTAAAAGGTGAAAAGCATGAAATGGCCCAGGTTGATTGTGGGGACAGAGAAGACTGAAGGAAGTGTATCCTGTTTTACAGTTGCTGAATGCCATCCAGCTTTTTGGTGCCAACCTTGATGACTACCTCCACTTGCTGCTGCCTCCAATAGTCAAGCTGTTTGATGCTCCTGATGTTCCTCTGCAGGCTCGCAAGTACATGTGGCTTTTTGTTGTCATATACTATTGATTTATATTACACTTTTATTCTCTTGAATTCTTTTCACTGTCTCTGAAAGTTTTACATTTAGCAATCAAACTAGAATATAAATCATAAACCAGTAGATTACAATAGGAACTGAACAATAAAACTGATATTCTTTCTAAGACCAGTCCTTTTTAAAATGGAACACTATGTCTCTCTATGTCTGTGAATACCACTAAGATCTAAGCCATTTCCGTTTATCTGTTTTTGCTCTGTTCTTTTCAGGGTTGCCCTGGAGACTCTCGACCGTCTGACAGAGTCCCTTGACTTCACAGACTACGCTTCACGCATTATCCACCCAATCGTGCGGACACTAGACAGCACGCCTGAACTGCGCTCCACCTCTATGGACACCTTGTCCTCACTCGTGTTCCAGCTGGGCAAGAAGGTAACTGTAGCTGCCCCCCCGGGCCCTCCCTTTAGATGCAGCTATTATTCAGTAGATTTCTTACCGCCTCTCTGCTGCTGGCCCCCAATCTTTATTACTTCCTGCCAGACTGGTGATGTCATTGGCCTTCTGGTGGTGGGGGGTAGTGTTTATGAGAGCTGATGAGGTCACATTTACCCTTTCCTGCCTGTACCTCTTTAACTCACTGATGTCTAAAACATCCTATCGTTTTCAAGCCCCAGCCTCAGAGCCACAGGCCGTTTTTGTGTGTGTGTGTGTGTGTGTGTGTGTGTGTGTGTGTGTGTGTGTGCGTGCCATGTCTGCCATCAAATGAACAGCAAAGCTTTTCATCTGAGGCTCATGGTGGTTGTGTACAAGTGCAGGATGACACGATACTGAGTTACTTGACGCAGAACGGGGCAAAAGTAGTAGCAGAAGTAAACCACACAGAGCGCTCACACCCATTTATTAACCCTCCCTCTCTTTCGTCTTATTTTTAGTACCAGATCTTCATACCCATGGTAAACAAAGTGATGCTGAAGCACAGGATAAACCACCAGCGGTATGACATCCTCATATGTCGCATTGTAAAGGTGAGACCTTCCTTACAAAAACAGTCATTTGTTGGCTTTCTTTTTATGTCAGCCTAACTGCATATAATTGAGATAAATTACATAATAATGACAAAACATCACATATGGTGTACACCGTTGCATAATCAATCCATTAGCATGTTCTGTTTATTCAGTAATCCCTCAGGAAGGAAATGCACCTCTTTGTTCACAAAACTTTATTTTGATGTGTGACTAAACGGTCTGTGTGTGGGCTGTCTGTGTGTGGTCTGTGTTGGTGTTTGTGGACACAACAGGGCTACACTCTGGCTGAGGAAGAGGAGGACCCTCTAATCTTCCAGCATCGTCATCGTGGTAACCAGGGCGACCCACTGGTCAGTGGACCTGTGGAGGCTGGGCCAATGAAGAAGCTTCACGTCAGCACCACAGCCCTCCAAAAGGTAAAAATGTTCGCCCAAGAACTGAATTTGCTATTGGTATAGTGGACTGTAACCAAGTTCCAAGTCCGTAAAATCTCATTCTTATAGTTGAACAACAGCAGATTAATTGCTAGAGGGTTCATAGCTTCACTGAATGTTTATTAATGTATGCCTCAATATTTTATATTAAACCGTTAATAACCAAATTAACTGAATACTGCCACTTTTAAGTGCAGTTTGATTCTCTTGACCAGTCGATGACCACTCAGATTATTTCACACACTAATAGCTGGATAAAGTGTTAGCTTCCACATAGTTCCCATAGGCTGAAAAACTATGATCATTTTCCTCCCTGCTTCCAGGCTTGGGGTGCTGCAAGGAAAGTGTCCAAAGATGACTGGTTGGAGTGGCTGAGACGTCTGAGTGTTGTCCTGCTTAAGGAGTCCTCCTCACCAGCCCTGCGATCCTGTTGGTCCCTAGCTCAAACCTACATCCCTCTGGCAAGGTACATCACATTTATCACACTGTAGCTGATGCTCACATTCTTTACACTGCTTTGCATCACTGAGAGTCCATCAAGGGTTAATATTGTACTTCTTCTTGATTGAATGGAGGGAAAACAGTGAAAAATGAACTATGTTCCTTTCAGATGCTAATTATGAAGCTGATGATTTTCAGTTCTACAAAACTGAATTATTCATTTCTTAGTCATGGATGTGTTTTTAAATGTATAACAGACAGTTGTAAAAAAACAATAATTGCTCTATGATCAAAGTTAATGAATAACATAGTATTAAATTAATCTGAATTCTGCCAAAAAGCTGTCCTTACCCTTGGAGTTCATTGTTTTCATGTGTGAAATGATTCCTCTCCTGCCCACAGGGACCTTTTCAACGCTGCCTTCCTGTCTTGTTGGTCTGAACTGAGCGAGGACCAACAGGACGAGCTAATCCGCAGCATCGAGTTAGCGTTGACATCCCAGGATATCGCTGAGGTCACACAGACTCTGCTTAACCTCGCGGAGTTCATGGAACACAGTGACAAGGTGAACAGTAACCTGCAGCAGCTGAGGGTTTGAAGTTGAAGATATTCAGAGTTTCTTTAAATTCAAGATTTTAGGATTAGTTGGAGCCTTTAAAGCTCCAGTAAAATACTCCACCCCATTATGAATCAACCAAGCTTGAACATTATTAGTCATACAGTTTTTTTATTGTGTAATTTGTCATTGTTTTTGTAATCATTGTGCTTTTTATAACAACCACTCGATCCTTCAGTAACGTAATACCCAAACCCAGTGAATGATCGTGACATAAATTACATGATGTTGAAATAATATTTTGAACGAGGGCCGCACTTTCTTCTTAATGTCTCTTCAGCTGGCCCTAGCATTCAGTCCTCATCTGTTTTGATGTTGTTGTGGCTCGACCCACTTTACTTCTCCAACTCTGTTGTCATCAACATCTTCAGACTTAGTGGTGCATGAAATCACTGTGTTTGGACTCTAGGCATCTGCAAAACCAGATTTTGACAGGACTTTGTCTGGGACTGTACTGTACATGTAAACACTTGCATGGTTGTGTTGTGAATTTAATTAGTATGAACAGGTTAAAACAGTCTGTGTGTGATTTTCTTATATGTTTTTAGACTTGTGTTTTCACAAAACCTACATTTTACATTACCTTGCACTTTACTGGCTACATCAGTAATTAAATATAAAGCACCAGGCTACTTTGTTGCACAGTAGTTAGTAGACAAATGTATAGTTCACACAGACCTCACTGTTTAACCACACATGTTGAGCTGATAAGTGTAGATGTCATTAAGTTCAGGCAGAGACAGAGTCAGAGTGGGGTCATAATGATAGATTTCAACAGGGAACCCCTACTGTGAAGCTCATGTAGAATTATATAAGATCTGCCTTTTCATGTAAATGGAAAGAAGAGCATGTAGAGTTTTTACTGCACCTTCTTTATTTCAGTCAGTCAAAATGACAGATGTAAAAACAGTTAGGAAGGCATTAACAGAATACGGTCTATTAAATAAGCAAACCTTGCTAAGGGCTGGTAAAAGCAGCACAGGAGTCACAGACAGCATCCATTTGGCAGTGGAATCTACTTTACCCCATTTGTTTTCCTTTTCTCAGGGCCCCCTGCCTCTCAGAGATGATAATGGTATTGTGCTGCTGGGTGAACGTGCAGCCAAGTGTCGTGCCTACGCCAAGGCTCTGCATTACAAAGAGCTGGAGTTTCAGAAAGGCCCTTCTCCTCTCATCCTGGAGTCTCTTATCAGGTAGGAGGTCTGTGAAGTGAGAATGAGTGAGAACCACAGCCTTTATAAATTATGAACAGCTGAACTCAGGCATTTCTTTTTCACAGAATTCTGAACCAGAAATGCCTTTTTGCTTTACATAATCCAAGTAATAAGAAAGCGTCATATACTTTTTGCACGGAACATTTCACAAACACATGTAGACAATTAACATGTTTGTCTACAGACTGCCTAATTTAGAGTCTATACAAATCAAGTAGTCATTAGTTAAGGCCTAATTAGGACATCTGGCTCATCTAAGAGTAGTATTTGTAAGTGATATCTACTTATTTCATTAAAGTTTTGCAGCTAAAGACAAACCAAATTAATCCCTGACTGGGTCAATTCTTAAAAATATACAAAGGAATAATACTACACATGATATTCTCTTGTCCCATAATCCCCTGATATGTTCTGTCATTTTTTCCGTCCCCGTTTTGCTCCTTTTTTTCGATGTCTTTGGCATGGTATAGAGAAATCTGTTTTCCAGCCATCTAATTGGACACTTGCCTCCTTTTCATCTGTGAGTGTCTGGACTTGTGTTTCTCTGGGGCCTGTTTTCAATTTCTCAGGAGCCTTGATGATGATGAATGATGGGAGCCGGCACTCTGGTGTTTTCAATATCCCCATCTGGTTCTCACCTCTCCAGGATTTCCCATAAAAAAACTAGAGGCTGTGTGCAAAAACACCCACTTTGTAACTCAGCTTTTCTGAGTCGTGGCTATACTAGGAAAAAAATGTATCTGCTGATATCTGACGTACAATTTTGATGATGAGAAATGCTTATCATTCTAAGTTCAGGATCTATAGCTCGGACTAAAATGTTGCTCTTATCTTTTGGTTGAATAACATTAATCCTCTTGAAGACACCTGTTATGTGAATTTTAGAGGGAACATCTGAAACACTTTGTGCTTATTGTTAAGAAATGTAAATCGTCAGACCTCCACTGCAGAGGACATTTTAACTCAGTAGTAAAGAACATCTCTATACCAAGAGCTAACACTGTCAACCTCAGTGCAGAGCACCATATATTCTATAGAGCTGTACATCCCCACATTAAACAACTGCAATTGTAAAAACTTAACACCATGATACTTTATACTCGTGCGTCACATGGGCTTCTGTGACATATGAAGGGTTAATTTAAGACATATCACTACAGCTAAAGCTGCTCATACAGTTTCACTTCTTCTCTTCTGAGTGTTAATGGCAGCAGACATCTTATAAGAGCACTACTGGCTCTGCTTTTTACAGATTTACATTATCACCCAGATGTGTAGCTGCATTTGCAAAAGGAAGGCAGAGCAAGTGAAGGAAACTTCGCTGTCGTACACGTGTGGGCTCTTCTAAACAGACTGATCTCATTTTGATATATTGACATGTTAATTTAGCAAAAATAAAAACCTGTTAACATGTACTATGTAAAAATGTAGGTAAGAGTTTATTTCATGTACTCGGACACTACACTTCTAATGTGATATTCTGATGTGCATCTCAGGTTTAGTTCAGTTCATGAACAATATAGTTGATCAGATATGACGTCACATCTTGTGACCTCAAAAACTATAAACATTTCACAGTTCAGTCTGGGACCTCCAGATATAATCATTGCAGTTAATGCACTTTATTCAAGCTAAGATTTAAATCTGTTTTTCCTACATTTTTGTAATTAAACCAAAGAAATGAAATGACAATAAAATGCATTTTCACAGTATGGGAAAGATAATCCCCACAGCTCTGCGCCCCCCACTTTGGGAACCACTGGGATACTTTTCCATACTTTTTTAATCAGTCACACATTCACTGTAGAAGCACACGCTCTACAGTGAGAGAGGAGTGAAACTCTGTACTGAAAATCTGTTAACTGCAAAGCAAACACTTTTAAGATATTGTTTACAGTATATCACTTTAAGTTGAGGACATTCTGGATTTTTTAAAATTAAAGCAGTCTTGAAAAGACTTTGAACAGCGTAAAACTCGAAATTAAAATGCATACTGCACAGTATACGTGTATATGCAAAATAAATATTTATTTAAACAAGTTTAGGTGACTGTAATTAGTAGAGAATGCCACTGCAGAAAAGAAGAAATTGCTTCTAACAAAACTTTCTACGTCTAAAAATACAATGAGTCATTTGTCTCTGTCTAAATACCTGTGCAAATGCTCTTTATTCTTCTTTGGTGATGTCTTCTAAAGCTCAGGGATAAATGTTGTGCTTTAATTAGATGCTGTCACTGATCGACTGCTTACTTTAAAGAATAGGAAAAGGATCTGACAAAGGCTTCTTCAGAGCCTGTGGGGTCACTGCTTCTGTCCATGAGCATTGAATCCTCTAAGGAATTCTTTGGGTTGAAGGCAAAAGGCTGCAATTGTTGTCAAAGCAGTAAACCTGGAGGCATTTAACTCCATGTCAGAATGGTCTTGCGTGTGTGGTCCTCATTCCTGCATTTGACTTAGGTGTCCAGATTTCTATGGCCAGGATGTCTGAAGATGACCTATGAGTCAAAAGTCAGTGGCTCAAGGCAAACATGTGGCTGTCGTTGGACACAAATGGACACAATACCAAGCTTTGCTGTTGGACTCCCACTGGGTTTATATAGTGTTAGCCAGTTAAGAAAACACTAGCTGGAGACACATACATGGTTCTTTTAAAAAATATTTTTATTTTTTTGACAAAAACATAATTACAGAGCTGTACACATTTTACAAAGTACTTTTTCATTGCTTATGGATAAAGGTTTCCATCAAATGTTGTGAAGTCATTACAACACTTTAGCTTTTTGTTTCCATCCTTTCAACTCACACAGATTTAAAAAAAATCATTAGTTTCAAAGAGTTTAAAAGGTACAAGCCTTAAAACTAGTCTGGATTGATTCTTCTTCTGCTTCAATACACATTTTGTGTTTAGCATTCAATTCATTCTAGTGCTTTCAAGACAAACAAGATAAGGTATCAAAAATTCTAGTTACCCTTACGGGACAGTGGTAAAGAGCATCTATCAAAGCTTTTAAAAAATAAAATATTTAACTGATAAATATACAAAAAATGAAGTACATTTTACAATCAAACAAGGAAAAAAGGCATTACACATTCATTTGACTGAAACATAATTATTATCATACCATCACAAACCTTTTCATTTTAATCCTTTCCCAGTCAATGGAAGGCTACAATTTGATTGACCAAGCATTAGTGAAATCTGTCAGCATCATGCCTGTGATCACAATCCAGAATACACAGTGAAAGCACTTATGGTTGAAAACCCACTGGTCGGACCTTCATCTCCACTTTCTTGAGGGAGTAGTTGGGCCCGTGCCAACCATACCAAGTGATCCCATCTGTGTTCCTTGTGTGCTCCCCGTAGCGGTAGAAAACCCCATTCAAGTTGGAGTCGGTGCAACAGTTGTACCAATAGCCACCTGGAATTGGTAAAAAATAATTAATTTTATTGTCTTCCACAACAGAAAATTCTATGCAGATGACTGTATTTTTTTCCCCTCTTTTATCTGTTTTACCTTTGCGCAGGGACGCACAATCGTCCACACATTTGTCGTTGTCCTTGTTGATTGTGCTGAAGTTGGTATTGTTGTGGTAGCGAAGGGAGTCACCGGCATTACCACTGTAGTTGGCGAGGAAGAGCTTATAGCTGTTGAGCTCGTTACTCACAGTGAAAAAACCATACTGGGCATAGCGGGTCTCTCCTTCCCAGTCCTGCATGGAAAATTCATATAGGTTAGATTATAAGTAGCATTTGAGCAACTGTAGAATAAATGTGGATCCCGTCATTATGATAACATTTAGTGATGAGTTTCGTAAAGCTAAGACACTATTCTCAGGTTTTGTTTAATGTTTTATTTTTTCGGCATAAGTTTTCTTACCTCCATCTCAATTCTCAGCACACTGGGTTGTCTAGTCAGTCGGAAGATGTGGTCGTTACCAAGCCAAAAGTCTCCACGGATTGAGCCAAATCCATTTTTGTACTGCTTCCAGTCACGTTTGAACGATGTTATGCCGATTTTGCGTCTTTGGATAAGAGTCCATCCGCCACCATTTGTCTCCATGTCACAGAAGACCTGAAATCAATGGTCAACATTTGTTTAAATACTTATGGAAAGGTCACAATAATTTGCCAGAACAAAACACAAGATCTACAATAGTTCATATACTTACATTCAAATCGGGTGTTCCCAAAAACTCATCTTTGGGTAGTTTGTACTCGCCAGAGATCTTGTAGTTCTTGGTGTAGAGTGATGCACAGTCATATGTGGCATCTAGGAGGAGAACAAGTTTTTTGTTAATGTGTGTTTTTGTTGATATTTGCCTATTTTTTGACAAGAGGTGAGTTCAGATTATTGCGAGCTTTCTAATTTAGTTGTGTTACAATATGTTAGTGCCATCGACTGTGGGACCACTGAGGAGCAATGAGCTCAATAGAAAGGCCTGTAATAAGGAAAAAAAGATGGAAAGCTTCCACATCCTCTAATCTTTGCATCCCTTCCTGTTCTGCTCTCCACTCTCCAATTTACTCAAGTTTTAATAAAGGTCCCTGTGTTCTATTTGCCAGTGACATATGCGGCTCTGTGAAACCACACAGTTGAGGTATTGAAAAAATAGACTATGTCATAGCTACTTAAAATTTCTGCTTCAGCCCTCTGCTGATTAGAGCCGTATAGAAGGTGCGAACCTTAGAGACACACAAATGACTTTCTGGTTCTGTTCTATTGCCTTTGACAGGCTGTCAAACTGTTTTAATAATGACTACTGTGCTCAGTACCACAATAACAACTCACAGCAGTTGTTCAGAATCCCAGGGAGAGCTGCAGACGTGGCTAATTATAGCTTTTAACAGCAAATGTAAATATGTAGCCTTGAGCCTGGTGAAATATTTGACATGTTTAGTTATTTTTAAACTTGAAAGTGACAGAAGTGATCTTTTTATTTGTTGTGTATCAGACCACTTTTTTCTACTTTGAAGTTAATTTTAAAATGTGACATTGGAGATTACCAACTTAATATTAATACTTAATAAGTAATATTTTGCAATAATTGTTAATCAATTGCCAAATAACTAAAACAGAAACTTCAAAGTCCACTCCTAATGTATAAAATGTTTGTCTTTGTGTGGACGCAGCTTAGCAGCACAATAGAGAAAGATACAGGTCAAAAATGCACCACAGTAACAGATGAAGCAGTTTGAGCATCTGCTAACACTTTGAACTCATTCTCAAAAGCTTTTCTGTTAAGGTTAACTGTTTTCATTCAAATTTAGTAAGGAAAAAGTTCATCTCTATTCCTTATTTCATTTATCCATATTTCTTTTATTAAATAACACCAACAAGCTGTCCGTGTGCATCATTTTATCCTTTGCTATTTACAAAGCAGTAACACTCACCTGAAGAGGTCTGAGTTGCAGATTGCAGGGTTTGCAGCTGCATGATCTCCACACGGTTGTTAATCTCTGAGTATTTGCTCTCTGCCTCGGTAACCCGCGCTTCCTGCTGTCGGTTCTGTTTGTCCAGCTCCATTATTTGTCTCACAACATTGAACAAATCTCCCTCCTGCTTGCGACTCAGCTCCTCCAGGAGGCTGGTCAGGTTGGCCACCTGAACCTTGAGCGAGCGCACCTCATCGCAGCACTGAGCTTTGGAGGGCTTTGAAGGTGCTAGTCTTTTCCTGGGACTCTGGGCCCACGTCTCTGCTAACAGTAGAAGTGTTAACCCGAAAGCCACTGTGATCAAGTTGACTTTTGCCATATTTACGTACAAGTGATCAAGATTTCAGATATAGCGATCAAAACTGCTCTATCCCCGGTTGGAGGTCCTGGTTGGGAATATCAAACAGATGAGCTTTGGCTGATCAGTTCAGTTGGAGCTCTTCATTGACTAACAGCTCACCCAGGCTCTGTCGTATCTCCTCAGTGAAGCCGCCTCTGCCTGAGCATCTTAAATATTTTGCATGTGGGTCCACCCCCTCGCTGCTGCTGCTGCTGCTGCATACCACTTGCCGTCCTGACCCTCTCCAACCTTAGGGGTGGAGGACGTTTCTCATCCCTCCTCCCCTGAAGCCACCTCTGCCTCTCCCCTCATTTTACTTTCCCTCATTCCATGGATGGTCTGCCCACGTTTCTGCTCCCCTTTGTGGGGTGATTAAGTATTTCTGGGTAGTAATGATGCTGTACAATTTCCTGAAAGAGTGACATAAGGAGCTGAGGAAGTTAAACAGAGGCGACTTTCTGAACTTGTTAAACTCATTTTTGTTGTTGTTTAAAGACCATTAACCATGTCTTTGCATGTTATTTAATTATGTAAAAAGTATTGCACTGATGGTTGTTTGATTTTTTTTTTTTTCCTAAACTTTAATCATCTGTTAATGACAGACTGTTTTGAATCCTGGGGTTTGACCATTTCCTCTGTTAATTTGCTCTTTACATGCCAGGAGTTTTGTAAAGTCACTAAGTACCTGTGATGGTAGGTTAAGTGCTCTTTTGGTGCTGCTTCTTTTTTTGGCAGACGTCTAAGCAGACATGTTCCCTCCTGAGCTTTTCAAGCTTCAGATTTCAAAAAAGGTGTTGATACAAGATGAAAGCTAAAAACTTCAGGATAAAGTCTGAGCAGAAATTGCACTAGGTGGAAAGAATTTGTTCAGGAGAAAGTCTGGAGCTGCTGGCTTCACGTGTAAAGGCCTTACACTCACCATTTTCTCATGCGTAAATGGTTTATTGTTACCAAAGAACCACAAAGCATTAAAAATGAATTGATTTTCTTGTGACTTGTGACTAAAAAGCAGATGGAATTAGCAATTGTTACAACACAGACATTTTCATACAATGTTACAGCCATAAAAATGTGATATCTGACAACTGTGAAGCAAGTGGGAGACATTCTGTGTCAGAAAATCTGTGGATTTTTTATTTCACCTCTTCTCCTTGGAGAAGCTCTGCCAAGGTAGACCAATTTTCTTAGAGAATAGCCTGCAGTGGTTATGAGGTTTGGTGAGTGTTATCACAAAATGCCAAGGGCATCGTCAAGCTCCTTCATGAATTACTGTTATGGTTGACACAAATAAACTGCAGAACAGATAAAACAGCTGTGGCGAAATGCAGAGGTTTTCTTTCAGAAGCAGAGAGACGCTAACCCTTAGTAACATGACTGAATCAGAACATTCCTATCAGCCTTTATTTAAACTTTATAGCTTTTCCTCTTGCACTCTGTGGACAGGAAGGAACTGTCTGAAAAAGACAGAGAATGTCAGTCAGCTGGTCAGTCAATCAAAAATGTTGACAGTGCACAGCAAATTGCTGATGATTTATTCAACCGCTTCAGTGAAAACTCAAAACCTTTGAATCAGACCAAATTGATCAACTCTTTATTAGGCATTGAAGAACAGCTATTGAACTCAGATATTGTCAAGATATGTTGCAAGTGTACAAATCTGCAGGAATAAGTGCTGCAGTCAGTAACTTTAAGTAAGGCCAGGTTTGCCAGTTTTACATTTATGTAACGTCTAGAAGCGTGTGGCTGGGGGTCAGAGGAGGATCACTGTTGAAAATGTGCAGGAAAAACAAAACCTGACACTTTTTCCCCTCTTCTACTGTTATCTTATATAACATTGAGCTACCAGCTAAGCGTTGCCTGGCCTTTAGTGTCATTACTGCTGAAAGTCTGCCAAGTGTCCCTTACTCCAAAATAAATAAATAAATAAAATGCACAAGTAAAGTGTTAAGAGTTTTCCATCACTACATTGTTATGAGGTTTGTAGCGGAAAAAAAAAATCTCACTTCCCACAGAATATGATACCGTTTTAATGAGGTCTGTTGTTGGTTTAGTGTTTTTCAGTTTTGCATATTATTCCCTGGAAGGTGCTAAGTCACCACTCAGCTATTTGCTCATTGCGTCGTCTTTTGACCGTTTACACGTGTTTTGAGTTTTCTGTATATGTTTGATTTGTTAGTGTCATATGGTCACAATAAACCATTTTGTGGTCTGTAAAAACACAATTGGAAGATATTAGTAGGTCTTTCATGTTTGATCAGCTGCAAGACCCTAACTGTCTGACAAATTAAAAAGTCCTGCTCAACGAGACCTTTAGCTCTGTGTACTGAATTGGTTAAAACATCAAGAAAAGCCTGTTGCCCCTTTTTAAGGGCAAAACTTTGAAACGTTGAACCTAAGACCAATCTTTATATATTCTTTTGGAGCTTTTTTGATCATCAGCTAATGCATAATGTGTTTTTGTTAATACTCACGTCTTGCTCTTCCCTTATTTTTCTGAAAAGTCCTATGTATGTTATATTTAGAATTTTCAGGCGTTTCTGTTCTTTAAAAATATTTAACGATGTGTTTTATGACTGACCTCCCAGTAAATCTTGAAGTCACTGATGTACGTCAGTCACCTTTGGAAAAAGTTAGATAATTTACCCTCCCTGCTTTCTCTCATTGTCTTAAGCACTCTCTGAGTCACATCTCACTCTGCTGCAATGCATCCCAGCGGCACCACTTTTCCTCTGGCCCTGGATTCTGTCATCTAGTGCTAGCAGAGGAAAGTCCAGCTGGACACCGTTTCACATGTTAGCTTACACGCTGTGTTTTCCTTAGTAACTAATGCGTTCCTCTAACCATGTCGCAGGGTTTGTATTGTGAATTATATATATACCTATATTTGTATATTTATATATATATATAGCTCTTCTTTTAAATTCATTTAAATTAAACGTAAATTGCTCATGTAGTAGCCCAAATAGTTTTTGTTGACTATAGTCTGTCGTCCTTGCTGTGCTGCTCCATTAGTCAGAGTGACTACATTTTCTATCTTTTATTCCAGCAAACTGATTTAACCAGTGTTTTAGTCGAATTGGCCCCATAGCGGACTTTTGTGTCCTGAAATACACTGAAAAAAACGTTTGATTTCAACAGTGACCGTGGTGTCCATGATTACAGGAAATACAGAAAAAGCCAGTGAATCTGTGTGTAAATGATTACAGGAAATACAGAACATCACAGAAAAAGCCAGTGAATCTGTGTGTATCCTAAAATTTCAAATGGCATATTTTGTTATATTATATAATCCATTAATGGAAAGTATCTGGTTTGATTTTCCATTCATAAATATGTAGTCTTCAGTATTTTGGGGTTGAAGATGAGGTACATCCAGGAGTGTTCTTGAATGTTTGTGGTTTGGGAGGTACAGGTATTCCTTCATTATTACTAGTAAAAACCAAAATAGGCTGTTGTGAAATATTGTATTTTATAAAATTAAGAGCTTAAATGAGATCACAAAACGCTTTAGGTGAGACTATAGGAAGTAAAAGGACGTGGCAAATCAGGAAACAAAACAAACATATTAGCATAACAGAAATAACATATTAGCATTACGCTTAGGCGTGAATCAACCATCTGCTCATTGTTTGTTTCTATTGCAGGAAAATTGTGGATGAACAAAGAAAATAAGAACATGTTTTTATCTAACATATAAACAATGTCAGGTCAGCATGAGGTCTAAATGCATTATATAAAGTGTTCTTTGTTCATAAAGCAGGAAAGGCAGCATTCCAATGAGGTGAGTTTCAGCCGCTAGAGACGCTTTGTTCTGTTGGCCTCTTGACCTGGAGGTGAGATACCCAGGAGAGGCATTCTGCAATGGTGTCAAGACTGGTAATAATGTGGTGTAAACATGGGCAGAATAGTTTCTCTGGCTGATGTATCTTTGGCTCCAAGACAGGTTTAACTCACTCACAAATGTATCTGGCTAATGTATCTTTCTCCAAGCTCCAAGACAGGTTTAACTCACTCACAGAGAAAGAAATGTCTCTCGAAATGCATGTTGGTCGTGTTTTTGAAGTTAAAAAAAAACCAAAGTTACAATTTCCAATTTCGAGGACACACTGTGCTTGTTGGATGGGGTCAACTGTGCTGACCCTTCTTCCCTGTACAAATTGAGAGGAGGAAGGTGTCTGAAGTAACCGTTTCCTTAGGCTCCGTGTTTATCTAATGCACTGATTTTCTCATGACAAACTGAACAAGATCTGAATCCAATAATATCAACCTGCCGTCCATTACATCCATGAGGTTATGCCATATTTAAGGATTTATGTTCTGCTCAAGTATTTACAATTTAGAACTGTGGTCATCATTGTAGTCCGTGTTGACAGACACTGTTCATCTGTGGTATTTTTGCTACAGCATGACCTCAGTGAAGGATGGAGTGATGGTAATGTCTGAAATTGACTGTGTCTCTGGACTGCTCAGTGGCAGATAAAGCCAGTGTTACTCATATTTAGATGTTTGATTGCATGTGTTAATTATTTTTTGAGAACTGAAACTGAGCAGCACATGATTTGGCAGCATGGGTGAACGATGCATTACATTTTCAACAACTGCAGTGGTCGTACCGTGTTGCTCATCATCCGTGGTGTTTATCAAAAGCAATAAACTGGTGACAGTGTCATGGCTGGTCTGGCTAATGGAGAGCACCAGGAATTATGAACTGATTCAGATTTTGTTATTCATATCACTTATTACTAAGGAAATAAAATATTGCGCAAATGATTTTGAAAAAAAAAACAATGTGAAAAAAACAACAATTCTACAGCAGACATGAACATTTACTGCAATTAACAACTTTTTCTAAATTCATTTTTTAAAATAGCACTTTACCAAACAGTTGGCTTCCTTGTTTGTTTCTACTGTCCAGGTAAAAGTTTAAAAATTCAGTCCAAAGTTAAATTTCCTTTTACGTTGCTTTTGGTAAGCCTGGCCTCATCTCGGGTGAATCTGTTCGGAATGTTGTGAATTAGATGAGAGATCTTGTCAACAGATATTTGGCTCCACCCTCTGCTAATCTGTGGTTTGCTAAAGCAACAATAGAACTTCCAAGGTGCTCTCTGTTTGGATTTAGATGTTCTTTATTAGTACATGTTGATTGCATTTTGGCCACCCCACAAACAAATGGGAAATGTTGGAGCTGTATCAGACATAGCATATCATCTCATCTACGTGTATTTGTACAAACCTCGGAGTGAGGGCTTTGAAAGATGCAGGGCTGCGATGCTCCCAGCTATTCAGTTACTGCCTGAACCTGCCTCAGTGACGTGGAGTGATGCTGCCAACCTGACAGTGTTCTAATCATATTTGTCTACAACTGGAGATTATCTAGAATTGGTTCCTATCCAGAGAATAAAAACAAACTCTAACAGCACTGTAAGGTGTTATGTTACGTTGTCCATTTCAACAACCTTGTCCTAACATAGTGAGTAAAACCAGCAGTCAAAATGAGTGTTTCCTACGTTTTTAAAGAACTTTATTTTTGCCAAGAAAGTTTTACCACATTAAAGTAAAAAGACAGAAGGAAATCCAGCCCGGATTTTGAAATCCTCAGCTCACTTTGAAATGATGTTTAACATAAGGAAATGGAGTCAACAATTGGCAAGAAAAAATGGTCCAAAATCAGTAAGGATCAAGTGGAAAGCTTTCTAATTAGATTACATTAGGTCCAGTAGTTAGGTCAGGAATTTCAGTTTACCCTGCGTCGATAGACAATTTCCTCAGGGATCTTCTCCTTTTTTCTTACAAATTTCAAATGTTTTTTCGTAGGCATTTAGAGGTATATTATTCAAGTGAAGGAGATTTTCCCATTATCCTGCTAAGTTTCATTTGAGTTATTATTTTACCATTATTTTAGGCCACATAATGACATCTAACCCTTATCTTTAATTTACCTTTAATTCTAGGCCCCAGACAATTCTGATATTGTAATGCATTCATATTTTTTACACTAAAGTGAGATGTGGAAAGCAACTGGGAAAAACTATCATAATAAAAAAAGTCATTTTCATGAACGCAAATCAAGCTTAGTTTTTGAGACATGAAATATTATATCTTTGATTTAGTGTTTTGTTTACATTACAGATTCCCCTGACTGGTCTTATTTTCCTTAAAAATGGTATCAAGGACTTTCCCCTCATAGTGCCTGTGGTAGAAGAACCACATGTTAACCTCATTCAAGGTTCTAAATTGATCCTGAAGGGAATGGGATTCAGGACACAGTGCACACTGTCTAAATTTCAGAGCAAAATATCGTAAATCATGACATTGTTAGGATTCAAAGGGCTTAAGCCCAAGTACCTTTTACCGTCTTCCTAAAGCCTCACATTATTAAATAACAGGAACACTTCAGTGTGTGAGGAAATAGTTGGATACCAGCCCCAAGATGCTTTTTGCCTACTAAAATCTGAAGAAAAAGGCAACGTCAGACATCTCATCTGGATGTGTTTAGGCTGAGCTGACGGCCAGATTGCTTCAGTTGGGGGACAGTGGAATCTCCAAGGTCCTGAGGAGAGAAACCCTTATTCTGAATAGTCTCCTCAGATGAAACCACATCTGTGCTTGAGGGTCCTCCAATTCTTTGTTCATTTGATTTTTTTAAAAATCTGCTTATTTGACGGAAATTATACAAATATACAAAACATACCAAAGTAATTGTCAATTCTCAAAAACATCTTAAATTGGCACTTTTTCAAGCCCCAAGAGAGTCGGTGATCATTTACCGAAGTTACTTCAGTCACACTGTGTGGTTGGTTCCCTTCATCTTTGGTTTCCCCGTCATCTGTTTACACCAACCTACTTTGAAAAATTACCTTTTTGTCTCGCAGCACTGTAAGGATAATAATTGTTGACATTTGGGGTTGCTGTTCCTTCAGTTTAAAATTGATGGATGGAGGGCTGGATAAATGGAAAGGTAGATGGATGGATAGATGCAGGTGATGATATGATCTATGGTGTAACACCTTATATTAATAACATGTGGTTTTTAAAATTGCATATATTTTTTGTTTTATTAAAGTAATTGGCTTTTTTCACTAAGTCACAGTCCAACCATTCCTTTTGAAGATCATTATTGTGGTGGATATTCATTTTAAACTTTTTTTCCCCCCTTAACTCTATAATGGAACCTTTTATTTTGAATAATACTTTTTAATTTGTCAAATAATTCCTTTGATTTTCAAATCAGATCTTCAAGAAGTGGCTTCCATAGGGTTATGTAAGGAATAATGAAATAGACAAACACATTTTATACAAGATGTAAAAAAGATCCAAAACTCATTAAAACAACATGCAAAGATTTGCCAAGTCCTTGTTGACAAGAAAACAGTTGCACTATTCCTGATTTCAGAAATATTGAAGGTATCCTGATCTTGTGTTGTTGCAGTTTGGGCTTCCACTAATTAAATTACAAACTCAACAAGTTCCTTTTGGAAGGTTATTGGCAATCGACAGATTATCTTCTTTTCCAACTGTGTACAAGACAGCTCCCGTTTCAGGTATTTGTTATTTCACCTGTCATCACACTGATCTTCACTAACCTCAGCTTGACCACATGCTGTGCCGTTTCATCATGGTGTCTGAACTTTACCCTGTTCATATGGAGCCTGTGACACATTGTATGTTCATATGTTCTTCTTAGGCTCATTTGTAGAATCCTCAGAATCTCCGCTGCATAGGATTACTCTTAAAATGCTTCATTTTACAGATGAATGAGCCATGGTTGCAGTTGAGGAAATATAATAGACCTGTGGCTTAAATAAGTGCTTCCAGATGTTGTGTTCCTGGTATGGGTGAGTAACAGTGTACAACCAGCATTTGTGCTCTGACAGATAACGCATCACTGGTCAGACAGTCGTGACAAATGTCAATAGGTGTATTTATTCTTCTCAACAAACGTGTACTTTTATCGACAAAACCAGTCATTTCTCTGAAACAGGTTTTTCTGATTTATTGTGTTATGGAGGGAGAACTTCCATGTGATGGGTAATTTACTTCTCTTGGAGGAACATGGATGGCACAGGAACACACTTCTAACATAATACCAGGGAGCTGTGTGGCGATGCCTCATTGTTTCCGCTGGCACCGTTGCAGTGGTTTCAGTTTTCGTGGTTTTGCAAAGCTGCTAAAAGATCAGAACATTGTCTTTTCCCTGCTGATTCCTAATAATTCATCAGATACATCTTGGCTGAATAAAGTAACACAACCATTTTGTCAATGTCACAGTCCTAGAAATTCTGATTTGTTCCAAAAAATAATTACAAAAGCCTGGAATAGTTTTTGGTTTTTTTATTTGTCCCATGTTGATTTATTAGATGTAGGCTTTGTGAAACACAAAAATACTACAACAAAAGTCTTATTACCTGCGCAGGTTTTTGTCAAGAATACAGAAAATGTAGATTTTAATTTGTAGAATTATTAAGAGTCTACACTACAACAGAAACATCCTGCTGTACCATGACAAATGTCCTTATCACTTAAATACTCACAAACCCAAAGCAGCAGCACATTGACTTGGTAAATGGGGACGAGCATCAGATGGTGTAAAGAATACGTTAGATGTAGCTCAAAGGTCATTTGGAAGTTACCTTTCTGGTTAAAGGCCAGGCACCTTTAAAAGGGAAGCTGCAGCAAAGGGCACTGAAGGGGTCACTTTGACCACAGTGCTCTGACTGAAGCCTCATGATCTTGTGCAACTAAAGTCATTGTCTACATTTGTGACATTAGCTGTTCCTTACGTGACTTCAGATATTTTAACGGTGAATCAAAGCTGTCTGCCATTTTATTGTTCAGGTGAGAATTCTGTGGCTTTTGGAATTTGCATGTCAGATGCAATGGATACAATCTGCACAAATGTGAACCATATGACAGACCATGGGTGCAACGCCAAAAATCACATCCCCTTCAGTGTAAATGCAGCATCAGACACTGAGTCAGACCTACTGACAGGTTGGCCCTTGGGCCGTACCTTAGACCTCAGTGGCCTAGACCGTTAGTAGGTTAACACTGGAGTTTGCAAAAAAATGTTTTAATCAGATTATATTACGTTGTGGGAAGGAAACCTTATTGTTCCCATTGGCTGCATTAGCTGTACAAAGTATTCAGATTCCCACACATTTTGCATAATTTATGTAGATTTCAAGACAGATCACAGAGGTGATCAGGCTCCACTCCATCACCTATAACAACAAGGGGAATATTGGTTTTTACAAAGTCACTCCAAATCAGAACTAGACACTGATTTGTTTCAGACTCTTTTCTGTCACATTCCAGACTCTTATGTGCCGTATCCTGGTGTTAATTCAGTTACTCTTGATAAGTGTTTGGAACTCAGTCCCAGTTGACCCGTGGCTAGTTTAACTGATTGGACAGTTTGCTGTAGGACCAGTACGTAAATCTCCGAAAGATAATATTGTATGTCAAGGTTCATGCCAACAGCTGTGAGCACATTTGATGTTTCTGCCCAAAGAAATTTAAATTTGGATAAGGTCACAAAGTAAGAAAATGGCTTGATTCTCTTAATGGTGAAAAAACCAAACATTTCCCAACCAAACAGTCAAGTGTTGAAGGCATTCTTCTTCTTTTCTTTTTTTTTTATAAATGCTTGTTTCTGCTTTTGTTTTGCAGCATCAACAACAAACTCCAGCAACCTGAAGCAGCATCTGGTGTGCTAGAGTACGCCATGAAACATTTTGGGGAGTTGGTAAGTATCATGTCTTAATTTGTAACTGATTTAAAAAAAATCCTATTTCTAATTAAAACTAACAAATTAACCTTTTTTAAGCATTAAAACACTGTAAAAGAACACTTAAAAATGGCCCTGACTTGTGCTGCTTGTCAAACTTTATTTACAGTATTTAAAAGATATAACAACGACATAGTAATTATAATAAAAAATGTAATGTAAATGTAAACAATACAAATAATGTTTGCATTCAGTGATTCATTAGTTTTCCAGTGAATTCAATGTTCTTTTCAAACTTTTCAAATGAGGAAAAGATATTTGAGACACTCACCTCCAGAAGAGTCCATTGTAAACGTGCTGCACATTGAAAAACCATCTGCTCCTCTGTCTAGCAGTTGCAGAAAGGAAGCAGAAATGTGAACGTTTTCATCAGTCTGACAGGCTGTTTAGATTTTCTTAACGTTTTGAGCATGTATTATTTCTCCCTGCTTTGTATTTGCTTTAAAATGGTGGTGAAACATTAGTGCGAAAATGAACACCACCTCCTCACACAGTGATCCTTTTTAACGTTGCGTAGTTCCTTAGTGTGATTTGGGTGTTTTTCCATTGTGAAGTGAACAGATTTCCTGGAAATGCTAGACCAGTACAGTACATGGTGGACTAGCAGTGCCTATAAAAGAACAAGTAATGTGTGAAAATGGATTAGTTGTTCAGAAATCTCCTAAATGATATTCACTAAAAACGTTTATTGTCATGTATTATAATATTATTGTATTATTAGCAGTAAATAGTAGTGGTAGTAGTATTGGAAAAATAGCACTTGATATTGCAAGCACTTAAAATGCAAATGTTTTTTGAATAGAGAGAACATTGTTATACCAAGTAACTGTAACTTATCTTCGATGTTGTAACAAAATGACTATTAAGAAAAAGACCATTGTTGTCAGAAATACAGATCGAAGAGTTATATGACCGGTGTTCATGACGTATTTAATGACTGTGGTCAGTAGTGGAAAAAAACGTGTCCGTGTTTAGAGACGGCTTTAAACATTCCACACAGAATGGCTTTATTTGGTTTTATGAAAGCGGCGAGTTCTAGTTCCCGTTCAGCACCAAAGTGTTTTCCAGCCATTAGGACATTTATAGTAAATGTCTTTCCTTGTGTCTTTGTGAGCTGCATTCATGTCTCTGCGTAAAAAGCATGGGAAAAGTGAAAGGACTTAGTCAAGAACTTTCATTGTGCAGTTCCTGGAATGTTGTTTATGAGGTAACCGTTTGGAAACTGTACTGGGTAAGGATGAGGTTAAGAAAAGGTTGGAAGGAAATAAGAAAATATAAGCACAGTATAATGTGTGATATGTACCTTATAATGTACGTAGGATTGTCATCGCAACAGATGTGTTTGGGTTTAATGATAAAACATAGACAGAAAGATTTCTGCCACATCTGGGTAGATTTAATGGACCCACCTTCTTTCTCTGTTGTTGTTTTTTTCCACCAGGAAATCCAAGCCACGTGGTATGAGAAGCTACATGAGTGGGAGGATGCCCTGGTGGCATATGACAAGAAAATTGACATGAACAAAGAGGATCCAGAGCTCATCCTTGGCAGGATGCGCTGCTTGGAGGCACTGGGAGAATGGTACGTTGTTACTAATTAGCGTTGTGATTTCACCTGGCCTACAACTCATTCAAAACTACGTCTGTGATTCAGATTCCTAAGTTTTTCCCCAGTACGTAATGTTTTGAACATTCTCATATGAATTTGAGCCATTAAATGAGTGCACTAAGAGGACAATTGTTTATTCAGTTCTTTAGTTAGAAAAGAAATGTCTTCTGAAGTTGCCATCACTCTTGAATCCCCTAGGTTTTATTTGGTCATTGTGCTCATGCAGCTTTTCTCTAATGAGTTCTGTCACCAGGCCTTTGATGACAGGGCAGAAAGAATTCCTACTGTGGTGTGACTAATGTAATTTTACTCAGAAATACACAAATGAGTTTCCAACACCACCAAGAGGCACTGCCACTCAACTGAAATCTCACCACGGCCAAGGTTCAACTCCATGATGGCTGCTCGCTTACAAAGATCCTTTCTGTCAGGACACGTAATCACAGGATGTTACAGATATATAAGTATGAGAGTCGCCAACTCATTTCAAGCTCAACAGATGTTAATTTGCTTACGTAACCTTATACCTTGATCCTCTGGCTACAATTGTGAAATAAACAATGAATCCTTTGAAATAAATCAACACAAAGTTATTTCAGTTTTTCTGAAGTTTTGTGTTGAAATGGATTAGGGTCAAAGACTATTGCAGTACAGGTGTCCTGCGTGCAAAACCCAGTCAGCAAGTTTTTTAAAATACATCATTTGACAAATAGATGACTAAGTCTTGGTGTAGAAAATAGTGTTATATAAGGTATAAGTGTGCTAGCTGTGCTGAAACCACTGAGTTTCAAGTTTTAGTTTTATTTCTTTAAATCTGAAACTGTCGTCACAGCAGGCAGTATATCAACACAATTAAGGCATAATAAAAAAAAACATAAAGAAAATTCAACTGTCTCCAGTTACACAGCCAGCTGAACAGAAAGTGAGCAGAGCTTTTACACCAATTTAAAAACACTCCTGCGTCTCCTGCGTTCTAGTGAACAAAGTGTAACTGCTTAGCACTAGTTCCTTGTTTTAAAAGACAAATGAACACACGCAATTATTAATTATTAATTAATTATTAATAAGTTTCAAGAAAAAAAAGTGAATTGGTGTGGTGTAACTGCCTAATCTACCCCACTGCAGCTTGTATCGTAACAGAGTACATTTTCCAGTAAGCCTTTCTCCTGCTTTCGTCAATGATACTAAAATACCTCCAGATTGTTGACATCATTGAGAAACAACCCCATGAGGGCAATGGAACATTGAACTGCAGTCAGAAAACACAACACACATGCTGACTGGTGTGTAGGGTATCAGGTCATTGACCACCACGTACAAGTTTATGAATGATGTACCAGGCCTGACATTAGTATAGCTGTTGGTGCATCTTCAGTTAATTGTTATTTTGGCTGCGCTGTGAGAGCCTAAGGATTGGGCCGGACTCACACACACCTCTACAGTTTAGTAAGAATTACACCCTAACTACTGGAATGTAATTTCAAATATTCTGCTTTTTTTGGTTCATGGTTCTGGAACATTAGTTGCCATTAGGTTTGATTCAAGAGGCAGTTGTTTAGAGATGCTGGGAGTTAAACCCAGATCCAAAAGAGTCACATTCTGTTTGAGGAAGACAGGACAGTTTTAACAGTAGTTTCCACAGCAGAAATGTTGGCATGTCAAAACAGGAAATACACAGGTGAAATTGATAACAACTACATTCCATTTAGCTGAGCTGGTCCTGGGTTTCCTGATATGGTGCATGCTGTTACTGGAACAGCCAGTGGATAGAGGCCACTGTTAATGGAAATTGTTTCACTCTTGCTTTTCCTGCTGTGGCCAACAAAATATCCGCTGTGGAAACAGACTATTACAGTGTCACAGTTTTCATCAGCACATGGATTTTGTCCCGTTTGAACAAGTACAAGAAACCTACTGAGGGGGATGGATATGTCAGTCAAGCACAGTTGGTTATGCTTTCCCAAAGCCTTGAAAAGGTCTTTTTAGTTCCCAGTGAAAACACATGTGTGAATAGAATGTAAAGCCTAAAAATCATTTTTAATCATCAGTGCATCTATATTAACTCCTGTGTAAAATAAAATTCCAGCATTATGAACGGCTATGTGCTGAGTCATAAAAATAAGTCATGCCCTTCTCATCACATTTTTTTTTTTGTCTGCCACAGACACCTTACGCCCATTGTACTTGAGCCTTTGCACTCGGTGATTTGCTTTAGTGCGCTGTACCGTCGCCAGGCAGCTGGAGAATGGCTCCATTCCGCTGAGCTCCATCCAAACCTGCCTCTCACTTTTCTGTCTGCTCCTCCCTCTCTGTCTTTTCTCCTTCTCTCTAGCATTCTTCATGTAGAACACATGCTGTGGGTTTGATATCTTGGACAATGCAACTCTGATTTTCTTAGTAATGAGGAATTAGTCCTGGTTTGAGTCTCATGACTCCACTGGAACGTTCATCTGTTTGCTGTGATACTTGATAATGTAAGAATGTGCTGTGATGAAACAGTGAAGTTGTTAACATTCAGGAACCAACAGAGAACCAAATGTGTAGCTCAACAGTCTCATCTAAAGTCACATTCTTTATTGTTTTAATTCTTATCAATAGCAGTTAATTGGTACATTTCAGCAATTATTTTTAATTGTAGTTGATACATATATATAAATATGGCCTTAACCAGTTTCTAAAAATAATTTATGGGGCAATCTGGTCATCAATCCTTGAGGCTTTTGTCATCCTTAAAAAAAGAACTGTTTTGTGTGCGCATCTATATTAACAGACAATTGTTTTTAGATCGGTGGACTGAATGTCTCACCTGGAAAATAATGTAAATTCAATCATATCTTACATTTTCATGTTTTTGCTTTAAACCAGCAAAGCCCTAATCCAACCTTGTGTTATCTTTTTTTTCTAATATAAAATATATTTTACACATTATATATTTACACACCTGTATATATACAACACTTATTCATTTGACAAACCTACATTTATTTATTGTGTGTTTGAATGTTTCACAGGGGCCAGTTGCACCAGCAGTGTTGTGAGGAGTGGACACTGGTAAGCGAAGAAACCCAGGCCAAGATGGCCCGCATGGCCGCCGCTGCAGCCTGGGGTCTGGGTAAGCACTCGTGTTCTTTATATTAAATGTGAACTCACGCTTAACAGTAATTGAGCACAGTAATGAACAGTAAAGCAACAGATGTTGTAACACAAAAAGGTAGTTGTTCAAAAAAAGGACCCCAACTAAATCTTTAGCATGGATCGTTTAGATTATCAGCTGTGCCATTAAATGCTGAGGTGGAATCAAACCAAGCGTAAATGAAAACAGTAACAGCTTTTGCCAAGTCTCGCTCACATAACAGAATGTGAACAGTATCCAGTCATAACATTGACATATCATAATGTGCAATGGAGGAGAAAAGTAGGGACCGCACTGCAGAAGCAACCTCTGAGGACTGCAGTCTGCGGCTTCAACTATTGGAAGTAATGGCAAACCCAGAGATGACACCCAGCCAGCAGACCTGTCAGTCTATACATTATGAACACAATGCTCAGGTGCAGTGTCTGCTCTGAAATATATGAAGTGAACATTGTACAGCAGGTTTTTAAACCTCTGTCTGCACTGGGTTTTACAATAGTCGTCAAGACAATCGAGTCTACATTGCTGATAATAACCCTATCTCCCTTCTTCTTTACCTGTCTGTCTATTTGTCTAGGCCACTGGGACAGTATGGAGGAGTACACGTGCATGATCCCAAGAGACACTCACGATGGAGCTTTCTATAGAGCAGTGCTGGCCCTGCATCAGGATCTTTACTCATTGGCCCAACAGGTGGGTTGTATCTATTTCTGTCAAGTTTTGTACTGAACATTTTTCAAGGGCCTGCAGTCAGCAGCATTTTCGTCTCAGCTGTAGACTGCCTTTCCAAATACTTAGTCTGTGATTAACAGTTTAGATCCAACTCGCATGTAATAACACAAACAGTGATGGTTCTAGGTGTTGTAATCCAACTTTTTTCATGGACAGTGAAGGCATCTTTGGACAGCGAGTTATCCATTTAAAGCCATTCACAAAAAAGAAAAATCCCTTTCGGCTTGTCTTTTCATCAGGGGTTGGGTACTGTAGATGGAAGCAAACCCGGAACCAATGACCCACTGTAGCCACAGTAATAGTCAGTCATTCATGACAGAATTATTCTTTTCATTTTCACTCACATTAATGGTCTTTCCTTTCTGTCAGTGAGGTCTGTTGGAGGTCAGGTCGGTGTTTCCCTCTGCTGACTAAGGTCAGGAATCATAGATGAGCTCACGCACCCTGAAAGTACATTTATTTAAACTGGATGGCCACATGTTGAACAAACACAGCACCAAGCCCAGTAAACACCTGCTCCTCCAATTTCCTGGGGCTTATTCACCAAGTGCCTTTTTCACCACAAAGCCCTGGAGATGTGCTCTGCGTGCCCTCTGGATCCCCCACCACGGCCCGCGTCCTTTCACTAATTTGTAGATTGGATCCACGTGTGGCCTGTAGGACTGTGCATCTGCTGAATATGGAAAGCAGACTTTCGATTCTTGCTGACAATGAGGCCGCTCATAATGAATGCAGAGAAATGAAAAGCACATGTGGCGAGGGCAAGCTTTAAATGTCAGTGTGAGCTTAGTCAGGTTTTTCCGGATGTGGTTGGTAATCATCGAACGTGCATCTCCTCATTCTATTGGGCCATTTCCATCTTTGTGACCCCGACAGGGAGTCATTTGCACGGGAAGTCCTGATGTGCCTCTGTTGAGAAAGGTCTAACGTATTTTAGACTAGATTTTTCTTTTGATTTGAAGTAACAACACTCTTTAGACTGTGCAACAATCCGAAGGCTGTCTGTTGCCCTAGCTTCATAATTTCCTTTCTTGCCTGTAGCTGCTGCATGCTTTGACCCCAACTAGTCATGCAGACGCCTCGATACAGCAATATAAAGTAAAGCAACACTTTTCCACTCAGACCTATCGAAGATAAAAACCTTTATGTAAGAGAATGGGACATTGTTTATGCTGTCGAAAGCCAGACACTACATTTATCAGGAGTCGTCTGGGCGGCACATTTCTGATGAGGCCCCTGCACAGTAATTCAGGAGTAAACAGCACCATAACTGAGTGGAGGCTGTAAAGAAGTAGCCTTGTTGTCACCTTTTCCTAACCCCTCCTCCTGTTGTGCATGTCTGGAGAGGTGTTTTGGCACGCCATCCCTCCCCACCTAAAGAAAAAAAATAATTGGTGGGAGTGGGCCTGAAACAGCTGTGTGTCCTGGCCTTCCTCAATTATTCTGCCTCAGTTTACCCTCCCACAAATAACAGTTTGTTAAAACATTGGCTGTCGAAACCCAGCTAATCAGCAGACTTTCAACAACAATAGCCGTGTCCTTGTTTTTCTCCTTTGCAAAACTGGATCAGGTTTTTTGCTCCTATAGTCATTTTTTTCCACACCTCAGGGTTGACAACAGTCTTTGGACGAGTCCTGTATCCACGAACTTAGTGCAGCTAAGAAAACATCAGGGACCTGAAATTTTACAAATGAGTTTAGCTTCAAATAGAAAAAAACCACCCAAAATAATGAGGAAGTAGGAAACAAAGATCTGCTGTGCGTCAGTGTGCTGTTAAACGTGCTTGAACTTTATTCAAATGTTTTAGAATTTACATCATGTTCTGCCAAAAACATTGACCAACAGTCCCCAATTCTACCTCCACCCCCACCTTTTTAAGGATTTTAACCCTCTGAATGGAAATAAAGTTTTGAGTGATTTCTCTAGATGCATGTGAATCCACATCCACATCCGTGGTTATATAACTGCCACACGGTTACGTTTAACTTTTCATTTATTCCTACTTACAAACCTCAGCACTTGGCACTGCATCAAAGTGCTTTGGACAGCCAGATCTAGGGCCTAGACGTAGTGATGAGCGGATTTCGGTAGTAGACAAGTAGCAAACAATAACAGGCGTCTGTTGCTTTGTACAAAGTGTTTTTGCTGCCTGGGTTGAGTTCCCATTTAACTTGTTCTTATGCAAAGATATTTTAGTGACGCTACGTCATGGTGCACTCCGGGGCATTGTGTCCTTAAATCATTGAAAAAATATGGTGTTCCTGTTCTTTGGTTTTACTAATGAGCTACAGCAGCATGAGGTTGTCATGGTTTAACCCACATGCAAATGCTAAGCATGTACAATGGAAATCAGGCTCTACTTCACCATGTCACTAAAAGCATTTTATGTCTCCCAGTGCAGAAAACACATTTCGTTGACATGATTATATTAGCATTTAAACCTTTGTTTTTCTCTTCATGTGTGTGTGTGTGTATAGTGTATTGACAAAGCAAGAGACCTACTGGATGCCGAGCTGACTGCCATGGCTGGAGAAAGCTACAGTCGAGCGTACGGGGTGAGTCTTCTTCTCACATATTCAACCACTATTTCCTGTTAACTGTCAGTTTGTTTCTCATTTTATTTAATTAATATTTATACAGCTGTTTATTTTTGTTAAAGTGAAGGCTCTCTTTTAAGCAAAATTTTGAGTTATATTCGAAACCCTAACCCTTGCATATTTTCTTGACCTTTCCTGTATTCATAAGTCCATTATTTAGATACTCGCGAGGGAAACACATACATCTACTGTTATTTTGTAGAGTATTTTTTAGCCATCAACTGAGGAACTCTCTTTCAAAGACCAAGTGCTACTTTATTAGGAAATATAATATAAAAACAATATAATGTAAAAACATTCTTAATATCAAAATGTATATGTTTAGGAGCACTCTAATGTTAATATATAAAAAATACAACTGGTCGATACATTCAAAATATATATCTCAACACTGGAATATTATGTGAATCTAAATGTGCACCCCCGTGTTCCCAGGCCATGGTATCTTGCCAGATGCTGTCAGAGCTGGAGGAGGTAATCCAGTACAAGCTGGTTCCAGAAAGGAGGGACATCATCAGGGAAACATGGTGGGAGAGGCTTCAGGTTTGTGTTTCATTTGATATACTGTAGTATGTACATACACACGCCCACGAACACTCACGTGTGCAACTATGTTATTTGATGTAAAGCAGATGTTGGAAAGGCTACTGTTACTAATGGGAAACATTACAAACCAAACACCACATGTACAGCCTAGAAACAAATACAAATATCTATGTGTCGCTTCCATTTAAAGTGTTTACCCCTTTATTACTTTTTTTTTCCCCAAGGAGTCGGTCAGGTTTTATCAAGACCATCAGTGGATATAAAATATTTTGGTTATTTTTTGGTTGGTTTGATGATTCACTGCTGCTGATTTGTTGATGTTGAACTGATAGTACCTCCTGCAGTTGTGTGTTATAGCCTTTAGCAGCCATTAATCTGTGGTGTTGAACTCATGACAACAAAACACATTACAGCTCATTTTAATGCATAAAATTGTATTCTTAAGTCACAGAAAAATGACTATCAGGCATCTGTAATTCTCACCGTATAAAATCTTTAAAATCTCTGTTTTTATTTTAGTTCAGCAGCTGGTAGCTCTCTGAGATCCACTAGATATATTACTGCCACCAAGAAATGTCCCAACCACCAGGAAAGAAAAGAAGAAAATTACAGAGAGATGGTCACAGCCGATGATCACATTACAATATTGGCTGACTGAAAAGGACAAAGAGAATGATTTTGGGATTCTATTAATTCTTTGGGAGATTTTTATTTTCTGTCAGATTGTGAATATTAACAGCATTACCAACAGTAGTTGTAAATGAGGTCAGCTGACCTGCTGCCACTGCTAAAGCCAATGACGTCATGACAAGGACTCTCACTGGATTGGATTGCACTGTTAAAAATAGGATTACATGAATCAGATTGGATCTACAGGAACTTGCCTCAGTAACCCATTCCTATGGTCATGGCCCAAAGTGAGAGTTCACACATGTGGTAGATTGAGTTTCTCTATGGTTATTGGAACTGACCTTCTAACTGCTACTTCACTCCAAGATCCTCCCGATCAAAGTTGCAATTGACATCTGTAATTGACGTCAATTAAAAAGTAAAAATATGTCCTATTTTACAAAACCCACTGTGGAAACACTTTGAGGCCTTGGGCTGATTGTGATTACTCCTATTATCTTTATTAATTGAAAATGACATGGCTTCAGATAAGACTGGTGTAGAAGAACCTCAAAAAAGTGGTTTGGAAATGTTTTCTATGATTCAATGCTCTGGAGGTCAAATCAAATCCTTTTCATTTCTTATCATACTCATAATAACAACTTTCAAACCTGTAGTCTAAAGTCAAAATTAAATTGTTCAAGGCTACAGCCTCTGCTTCTACTCCTTACCTTTGACCTTTCTTGACAGTTAAGACCATCCCATAATTCTCAAACCTGTGCCTATGCATCACAGACAGCCTGATTAGGTTGCACTAATTTGACATTTCATAAATGTCTATTAAATACTATGCTCTGAGTTCTCATTGTACAAATTGTCTAGAACCCGTATTTGACCTCACAGTTTAATGCAGACACATGCACACGTGTATTCACGCCTGTGTGCATCTGTGCAGTAAATTGAAACCACTCCTGATCATGCTGACTTTTTCCATTCATAAAAGACCAAGATTTCTCTGAGTGGGCATTTGGGATCAGGAGGGGTCTTCCAGGGAAAACAGTCAGGTCCCATAATAGCAGCAGCAAAGCTCAGGCGTCATCACTTGACAGGTTTTCTTCTATAGTGATTTATTGGTGTCTGACCTCAAACATCTGTCAGTGAGTCTCTGTTGGACTCCTTCTCTTTTTCTACCTTTCAAAGTCTCGTGCTCATCACAGGAATTTGCGGAATGGTAAAAAGGTAGACTGGAACACTGCACCCTATTGTTTTTGTGTAAATGTATGGTTTTACCTGCTGGATATTTCAGCAGGTCGTGTTTTTCAGAGCACCACAGTGAGTGCTTCAGGGTCTTTTCCGTGGGGACAACACAGTGTAACCTCAACAAGAACAAGGCTGTCAAAGCTGGACACCCAAATATTGTTGCCGCAGCTAAAGTATATCGCACCACTTCGTTTGTGATGCAGTCGTGTTGTTAATGTGCCAACAGGCTTGTAGAGACGATTACTGGTATTGTCAATTGTGCTTTGTAAGGAAGAAGTAAATTTAGGAGGATAGATATTGATTGGCGATGTTCCTCCATCTACTACGATACAAAAGTGAATGGATTTTCCTATTTTTGAAGCCACATGATAATTTTGAAATAGGCACATCACATAGACACGTTTCAATATCAACAAATTCTTCCATAGTTATGTCCAAATAGGTTTTTATGCCATATTTCATTCTCTAAACTTTTCCATTAAATAATTGGACTTAGGATGTGCATTACAAAGTCGAGGTATGGCCAGCAGCTTGGGATCTATTGTTTTGATCAGGAGGTCATGAACATGAAAATTAGTTAAAATCCCTCATTCTCAATCTCAATCTCTCATTCGCGGACCAGGGTGACAGTGGAATTCAGGTTCACTTTGTCACTCAATTTTACACATTCCTGTGTATTACTTATCAATCCTTTCACCCCTCCCAGACTTTAAGTGGGGGCATTTCCTCCCCACCTGCATCACAGGTGGTGTGGTGGTGGGATAACTCTAGCCCAGCTACTCCCAATGACAGAAGCCTCTGTCCGGTCTACGTCTTAATTTCTCTCCTCAGAGGACACACTCTGACACTCTGACAAACAAATGCAGGACAGAACACCCCAAGGTGATTCCCACTGCTGCCATCTTCCTGTGATATCCTGACAGTGGAAGACATCTGGAGGCCTTTGAAGTTGCTGAAAATGATGGTGCTGATGGAATCCAGGACATGGAGGTCCAACCTTGAGTAAATAATTCGATGTGGAGCAGTTCAGTCAGTGTAGCCAACATGCAGTCATGTGTTTTTGCTCTTCAATTGCATTTAGGCCCTGGTTCGACCTTATCTTTCTGGGATGCTAATCAGAGTTCGATCCCTCCAGTGGTTGTGCTGTCTGTTCATGTGTTGTACTTTTCCAGCACGTGAGGATGAGGTATAAAAAATATCAAATAGAACGTGGTGGATAATGGCTTTTACAAATGTTTTTGGAAATTCTCTGTGTTTGTTTTTTTTTAGATACATGATCTAATAGTCACGTGTAGACATGACATAGACAGAGACCTCTGGTCATGGCAGTAAACGCCACACATGTGTTCTTTGTCTGGCGTTTAACTAGTTGGTGCCTCTCTTTGAAGAAATAAGGCATTGAACTCATCAGTCCTACATTCTTCTTTTACTCCCTCCAGGGTTGTCAACGTATCGTGGAAGACTGGCAGAGGATACTGATGGTCCGCTCGCTGGTCATCAACCCTCACGAGGACATGAGGACTTGGCTGAAGTACGCCAGCCTCTGTGGGAAGAGTGGTCGCCTGGTTAGTACTGACATATTGATTGTTGAACTTCTGATGAACACTTGCATCACACAAAATGTATCAATAAATAACAAAAAGAACCTGTTTGTTTTGGGGTTAGCAGATTCATGTCTGCCAGTTAGGAAGTAAAACAAAGTCATTCTTCAATTTCAGGCAGAAAGAAACCCACCTACGTCTTTGGTTCAGTGCTTCCTTTTGATTAATGGTTCCCAAACTTCTTTTTCTGGAGGACTGTTTTTGAGTCGACAAATTGAATTTATCTGAAATTAAACGTTACAGTTTGTTTGTTGGGGATAATGCTCATGCATGTAAGTGTAAACTTGAATTTCTATCTATTCTTTGTTTAGTTAAATGTGTTGCTGGCAGCACAAAATAACAAATTGAATTCAGTTGCGGAATTAAAAGACTGGACTTCTGACTTATAGAAAACTTATTTTCGATAAATTATTTAAACTTGCTTTGATTAACTTTTCTTGAAATCAGGTTTATCTTTAATACAAAGGTACTGCAGAATAACATCAGATGGGTTCGTCTCACGTATCATTGTGTCCTCATGGCTGACCTCGGCCATGCATGCTGTAAATAATTGTTATCTTAAATCATGAGGACTACATCAGAGCTGATTGAATAATTTCAGGCAAATGGAGAACAGGATTTCAGGCTTTGATTGAGTTAAGTGCAACCATGAGTCCCAGCTACAAAAATGAACTTAATTTTAACCTGTTTTGAGGTTGGCACTGATGAAAGTGAACTCCATCTCACTGTGAAGAAACCTGAATTCACATATCTTCTCAATTTACATGGCTTCTTTTTGCCTTTCCTGTCCTCCTTCTGCCTCATTGTTATTTTAATTGATTGCAAGGAGTGACAGAGGATCGGCCGATGTTCTGTCTGCTCTCCTTGTTATATTTAAGCGCACACAGGATGACACAATCAGCGAAACACAGTAGGAAATGTGATGATGTAGAATTGGGAATTTTGCCTCCTCTGTGACTAAGAAAAATATATGCTGGGGAGTAACATGTAGAGGTTTGAGTCCTCTCCCTGTCTTTCTTGTTACTGTAACCCATTAAAATTACCTTTATGTCTTAGAAAGTATTTTACCTTTTTTAAATATGACTTATTATTTTAACTCCAAAATGTACAAACCATCTTTTCCTGTTGTTTCCTGATTCCTAAAACTCGTGAAAACTTTGTCAAACTTTTCTCTTGGTCAGGCTTTGGCCCACAAAACCCTGGTTCTTCTGCTTGGCGTCGATCCCTCCAAACAGCTCGATCACCCTCTGCCCACAGCGAGTCCACACGTCACTTATGCATATATGAAGTACATGTGGAAGAGCGCCCGCACGGTAAAGTCGAAAAACACTTTGGCTTTAAGTTGTACTATTTAAGTGTTTGCTGCAGTTAATGAAGGGTTTAAGTCAGTAACCTTAAAAAAGAAATTCAGACCAAAGTTTTGTTTTTTTGCTTACTTTTAGCTTTTTCTTTCTTAAATAATTTATTTTAAATTGCTAATTTATAACTTTTTTTACCTTTTTTTAATGTTATATATTACTTAACTACTGAATTTCACTTCAACGCATACAAACACATACAGATACAATGACGTATAAAAAATGACTCTTCAAAGGAAGAAAGACAGAGGCATTATCCAAAACCACTTGCTGTGTAGACAGGAGATGTGATGGTAACCAGACAAAGGGGATAAACCTGTTGTGTAATTTCTCTCCTACGTAGGCTTGTAATTTTTCTTCAACAAGCTCCATAAATAAAATCGTATGTGTAAAGTATGCTTTTATGTTCCTGATGATAAAGTAACGTTAGACCTGTTTGCTGAGGAGTGATTTTGGCAGAGCTTTTGGGGAAGTGATTTATACGTACCCTGAACCAGATGATGACTGGGTGGGAACGAACCTCCAAAGGTTAAAATACTGCACTGTATTCTATGATTGTTCTTTCCATCAATTTAATCCAATCATAATAATCAATAATAATAATTAGTAATTTGGAGGATCTTCAGGATTTCTTTTAAGGTTTTAGTTGCAAACACATACATTAGGTTCACGTACACCCAGACTCACATTAGCACTTTTGCATTTAGGTGTTTAATAATTTGTGCAGTGCTGTTGTCATGAGCAGCTGCACTGGTCACCACATCATCAGAATTAAGAGAACATACAGGGACACACAGGAAGTGTCTCATCTGTGTTTATAGGTTGTTTTAAAATGTGAAATTAAATAAAGCTAAAGAGTTAGCTCAGATCTGATTTTGGTCATCTCCAAGTTTATTTCTATCTCAGTATTTTTAGATGTTGATGTTTACAAAGAGAAATAACAAACTGAAGGCCGTGGAAGATAAAGGGTCTACATATTTTTTCATCTTCATAATCCCAAAATACTATATTTGTGCAGGCAGCGCTTTATGAGAAACAGATTTCCTTTTCTCTAAAAGTAATCCAAGTGCAACAAACCATGATGTTGTGTTCCATAGTTGCAAACTGTTGTTCTTATGTGTTTTGGGAATTTGTTTTCTTTTAAAAAAACATTACAGAGAGTTTATATTTCATTGATTTCAAATGTTAAATTTTAAATTTTGCTGTGCACCACTCCAGATTGATGCCTTCCAGCACATGCAGCACTTTGTTCAAGGGATGCAGCAGCAGGCCCAGCACGCCATTGCAGCCGAGGACCAACAGCACAAGCAGGAGGTCCATAAACTGATGGCCAGGTCTGTTCATTCTCTATAAGTTCACAGGCAGCACCTTATCAATAAATAGGCTTTATTTAAATATAATTTATAAATAAAACAGCAAAAGATCACGTGGAAAGAAGGAAAATATAAAGGGAGTGTATTTAAACTTAAACTGTCCTACGGTCATGGTAAGACACAGGACTGTATGAACCTTTATTTTCAACCAGATGGAGGACTGGTTTGTGGTGAGTAATTGATGAAAATTTACAATGGCAGATCTTTTTTTTTTTTTTGTCTCTGCACAAGAATGTAATCATTATATTTTCAAGTTTTCTGTTATTCATTTGACGTCCACTTCATGAACCATGACACAAACCTTCACTTGTAAATCAGTCTATTCAGTGTTTAAAAAACAAACGCAAAGTTTAAGTTACAAAGTCAGAAGGACATATTTATGACCTCAGAAGGATTCATGTTTAAATTGAAATGGAGAACAAAGGAACAAAGTCTTAGTCATACAGTCAAGCTAATGAAAAAAGGGTCAATGAAGCACCTTTTCATGTATTCTGCCTCAGTTACTGCTGCCAGTGGATAAGTAGCTCCAGTAAGGCTTTTTGTTAAAATATAGTTTATTAATGTGTAATATACTTAGTTGATGTTTACTTATTATAATTATGGACAAAATATCAAGTATTGGAGCCGATTTGGAAACAACTTTTGCAGTCATTTGGAAAAAGTTGTTTTGTAATATATATATATATATATATATAAATTAGTAATAGGAAAACAATCATCTTGTTTGTTTGTTTATGGTTTCAATATCTGGTAACATTTTTGGTCGGCAGCCTTAACTGAGCCTTGGACTCCCTAATTTAACCTGGATGTAAATCTGGAAATCCTTATACAAATCTTTCCACACTTGCTGCCAGAAAGGACTGGAAAAAAAGAGTTGAGCAACACCAGAATATAAGTTGATGAGTTACCTCGGAGGAACCCAATGTGTCGCTCAACATGAACAATTTAGTTGTAATGCGAAAACAATAAGTAGTCGATAAAGCTTCATCGCAAATAAATGTGGTCCTACTGAAACTGTATGGATACCGTTTCGGTCCTACAGAAATACAAAAACACTTTTTTCTAGTTTTCTAACTTTTCCGAGGTTGAACATTAGGAGCAGATGTTGATGTTTGAAGAAATAATCACAGACAAACTTTGGCTTGTGTCACATGCAGTTTTTTTAACCTTTGATATCAAACGAACACATCCATGAGTCACAGCTAGGTTATAAAACCTGACTCACTTCTGACTTAGTTTCTGACTCACTCGTGACTCACTGCACAATGGTACGTGGGTATTTTCATCTATAAAATATTCAGTTGCACGTGTGACGGAGGCTCTGTTTCATGTGCTAAATCTGGAATTCTGATCAGTGCTTCTCCTCGCGATGAAGACATAGATATGACAGACTCCTTTACTTGGGTTATTGGCGCATCATCTGCATCTGTTGAAAGGAAATGAATCCACACATAGTCAAATTTCCCAAAAGTAATGCCAGTAATGCCATCGTGCTCAGCTGTGGTTTAGTGGTGTTTGAAAGAGTTTTGTCAGCCTTTCGACTACCCACTGCGACAAAATGAGAAAAGAAGTATTCTCGTGCTGTTTTCTAGCCTCCTGTCGTAAACACACACCGGGTCATGTACAGTGCATTCTGTTTCTTTTCCACGATCACCGCCCAATCTGGCATAACACCTTTTATTAGTCCCACTGGCATCATGTGGTCTTTTTCAAAGCTGGTATTCAGATCGTCTGGAGGCTTCACCTCAGACCTCTCAATAAAACAGGCCTCTCTGGCAGTTTGTCCTTCGCAGCTACTTATCACATACTACTTTTCACAATATACACGGGTTTCTTTAGCTGTGAACGTTTTCCCAAAGTGGGATCAATGGGTTTTAATCTACGCCTTCTAGCCTGGCACAAAAACTGTGTGGGGAAACAAATATTGTAGTCTGATCAAAAAGTTTTCAGTAGAAATATACACTATAAAATTATTTTGAAGTGTTTTAGAGATTATGTGGAGTTATTTAAAAAGTATTAGGCTGTTGTGCTTCTGTGGCTTCTCCTTAATTTCTGCGGTGAAACTCCAAAGCACGCTTCTCCAGTATTGGGTTTCAGTGGGTTTTTGTTTTTGTTTTTTTTTCGGCAAGGGAAAAGAGAATATTTCCAGAGAATTGGACAGAGCTCTTTTCCCGTCAAATGAAAACAAACAAACGTGTGACACGGGGAGCAGACAGACAGTTAAATCACACAGTAGCCTCAGCTCGGCTTGTGCACAAACATACAGAAGTAAGTGCACCCTCCCATTCCATAAATCACACATGACAACACACACACGCATGACAACAGGCCAAAGGGGCTTTCTTTCCATTTGTGTATTGTCCAGACGGTGACTCTGGCTCTTTGAAGGAATGCATGTTAGGAATAACACCTGTATACTGTCAGTCAGAGCCAGTTCTCTCCAGACGTGCTGACACACTTTCATAAAAACAGCTTGGCCGTGTGGTATGGAGCACACCTGGACTCTTCGCTCAGATACAGTCCCTCCAACACTCACATAGACGCTTCCACTCTCTCCAAAAACCAAGCCCATATAATTCCACTGTTATTACTCTAAAGGTTAATATTTTCTGTTCAAATAAACAGGTTGCGCTAATATCCGGAGACGTCGCATTCTCTGTCTTTCCAATACCTCCATCCACTAAGGAAAACCTCTAGTAAACACCCCAAACACTCACATGGAAAAGTATTCAGGGCTGAATTACATAACCCTCAAAAGATCATTTATAAAAGGTGCTCTGCAAACGGTATTAGGACAGCTGATGGATGAGTTGACAGCATAGCACTCGACAGTTTCTCTCTTCCGAGCAGATAAAAGTGAATTATCTGTTTTAGTTGCACTAAGTACAACTGTCCCATCTGTGAGCATCTGTGTTTTTGTGATTCATAGAGTTAAGTCCTCCCTGGGGATGTCATTAAGCCAACTGATGGATTAAAGAGTCAGTGTGTAATTGTTTTTAAAATAAATACATACAGACAGCGATCAACTTGTTATCTGAAGAGTTAACAGACTGCTAACTGAGCAAGAAACTGAACTTCATATGCTACAAACATCAACTGCAGCCAGTTGGTTTACAGTAGAATTAGAATGGGCATCTTCTGTAAAACACAAAGGGATAACTGCTGCCCACCAATAGGGGGTGCAACCAGGTCTTCTATCCTGGGCCTTCATTGAACTACAGAAAATGGGGGGTCCAGGTGTGTGTGTGTGGGGGGGGGGGCATCTAAGATTATCTCCTCCCATGCCCAGTCAAGACTGTAAGCGTCTAAGGCCACCAGTGTTCGTTTACGTTGACGTGTCAGAGACAACCTTCTTTTTAAAAATAAAATCTAAAACTAAAATGGTTATGTGAGACTAAATGACAATGGTGGAATTTATGTATGCATTAGTAAATGGATAACAAGAAGACAGAAAATCCAGTCAGTAATTTATTTGTCATATAAACTGGAATAAATTAGGTTCAGTGAGTGTTTTGGCTAAAATCAACTTAGAGATCATTCTCAGACCTGCCTATAACTTTTGCACAGTACTAAACAGGAATAAGCAGTATAAGATGGTATTTACACACTAATGGTTGAAGAAGGAATAAAATGGTTTGGAACACTGTAAATGTTCCGTTCAGATCCTAATACCATTGAACTGACAAAATACACTGGCATTTATTCCTAAATCCTGGAATGATTTTTCAAGTCTAGAAACACTAACTCATTCCTTTGTAATGGCTGCCATTTGTTGTAGCCCTAAATGTAATAAAGTCCTTTATAAACAATGGCAACATGGGATTGATTATATACAAGGACCGTGATCATTATAATGATTTTTCTTTGTGCTGTGCTTTGAGTTCACGTCATTATTTGTCAACGCAGAGCTTCAATCACTCATCAGTGACTAATGACATGTGGCCTATTGAACTTTTACGATCCCCTAAATGTGTTTTACTTCAGGATTCAACAGTGGCCTTTCAGTGTTTCCAGTGTAAAAGTGTAAACAAGTGTAAACAAGACTATGTTGTTTTCACTGAGCTCCATTGTCCACAGTGAAGCCACACATGTTCATTTAAGATTCTGGAGGATTGTTTATCTGCTGGGCTCTGAGTGAAAGGATAGTAAACAGATATATTAACTTACCAAACATTTAGTAAGAGGTCTGACGTTGTGTTGTTATTGTATCATACAGTTACACGTGGACTGGATGCAGAACTAACCCACCAATCATATAAACCCATCTTTTGTATACAGGTGTTTCCTGAAGCTGGGTGAGTGGCAGCTGAGTCTGCAGGGGATCAACGAGAGCACCATCCCTAAAGTTTTGCAGTACTACAACCATTCTACCGAACACGACCGCAACTGGTACAAGGTCAGTGCCCCCTATTTTTACTCTCGACCTTTCACACCCGACCTCTCTTTGGCCATAGTATAATACCAGCTGTGCCAGCAGCGTGCCACAAAGAGAACGCAACAGAACACGTTTTACTGCCGTTAATCAAACTGAACACATCATGACGTTATTTATGACTTTTTTTCCCCTTTCTGAAAAGCTAATTTTTCCTCTATACACTGTGGTCCTTCAGCATATTAAAGAAACATGTGAGATAGTGGAAGAGCTGAGAGTATGTTTGTTTTTTGTTTTTTAGGGTGTATAAAGACTAACATATTTATGTACACATAAAAGCTCATTTCAGCAGCTCAGATGAGAAAAATAACCAATGTGTGACCTTGGGTAAACTGGAAAATTGCATCATGGAAAAAGGGACGAGTGATTTTCAAGCATCACTTCGTAGAAATTCACAGAGTTGGTACCTTCCTCTGACAGGCCTGGCACGCGTGGGCAGTGATGAACTTTGAGGCGGTGCTACACTACAAACACCAGAACCAAGTGCGTGATGAAAAGAAGAAACTGAGACATGCCAGCGGTGCCAGTGCTAACAGTGAAGCCAGCAACAGTGACAGTGAGGTCGATAGCACAGACCAAAGTCCTGTGCCTTCACCGGGTCAGAAGAAGGTCAGTGAGGTAGGTCACAAAAAAGGCAGCTTTGTTTTCCATCAATTATTGTCAGTCATACAAAAATGCACACAACAAATAAATAAAATATTTAAAGGCTTTTGGAAAAACGTAACATACCATTTCTAAATTGTTTTGATAAAATCTGAGGTTTTTCAATCTTATCTGTCTGCAGTAATAATTAAATTGTTGATTCTGACTTATAGACTCTCTGCATGGTGCCATCACCTGCTCCAGCAGTTCAGTGTGCTCTTTAATACAGCACAGCGTATTACTTGTGGTCATGCATGAAAACCCCTGTGATGTGTCTCTCCACAGGACCTGTCAAAGACGCTGCTGATGTACACCGTCCCTGCTGTTCAAGGTTTCTTCCGCTCCATTTCTCTGTCCAGAGGCAACAATCTGCAGGACACACTCAGGTGAGGGAGACTGCTGCAACATGATCAGGACATGTTGGTCCACAAATGACATGTCACGTGGTGGGGAAGGAGGACCTCTAGTGGTTGATTCTGAGTTTTTCTTTTAGTCTGAAAATGGATTCTGATTGTTGCGATTTTTTGCATCTGTTCAGGGTTCTGACTCTTTGGTTCGACTATGGTCATTGGCCTGATGTGAATGAAGCCCTGGTGGAAGGAATCAAGACCATTCAAATAGACACCTGGCTACAGGTTGAAAAGAAATACACACACTTACTAAAAGAAACTACACTTTTGAACCTTTTGTACGTTTGCTGTCAAACAAACAGTGATAGATTCTTTTGTTCATAATCTTTGAACCAATTTACCAGGATTTAGTGTTCATAACATTTTAGAAGGAATGCTCTAACTCATAAACCAACTTACTGATTTTTTTCTTTTCTTTTCTCTCTACCTGTCTAGGTCATCCCTCAGCTGATTGCTCGTATCGACACTCCTCGGGCTCTGGTGGGACGTCTCATCCACCAGCTGCTGACAGACATCGGTCGCTATCATCCCCAGGTGCCCTGCTTTATCTTCTGCTTCTGTTATTATTATTACTTTAAGTAGTAGTAGTAAAATATTAGTACTATTATTATTTTATTTTATAATAGCAGCGGTAGTAGTAGTTATATTTTGAGTGGTAATACCAGTAAGAGTATTAGTACTGGTTGATACTGTAGTAGTAAGTGATCCTGATGATGGACTGTCTGATTGTTCTCTCTTCATCTTCAGGCTTTGATCTACCCACTGACTGTGGCTTCGAAGTCCACGACCACAGCACGTCACAATGCTGCCAACAAGATTCTGAAAAACATGTGTGAACACTGTAACACTTTAGTCCAACAGGCCATGATGGTAAAGACATTGAATCATTTAGACCTTTAAAGAAGAGTGAATCATATATTTACCTTTTTTGTGTTTGTTTTTTAAACAGGTGAGTGAGGAACTTATCCGAGTGGCCATTCTGTGGCATGAAATGTGGCACGAGGGCCTTGAAGAAGCCTCACGTCTTTACTTTGGTGAGCGTAATGTTAAAGGCATGTTTGCTGTGCTGGAACCTCTACATGCCATGATGGAGAGGGGGCCACAGACCCTTAAAGAGACCTCCTTCAACCAGGTTAGTGTCACCTGTGTCCAAAAATACTAACCTGTTCACAGTACAACACATAGCAAAATGGGTTTTCATTTAACTGATCTTTGGTGCTACATCCTTGGTCACAGGCTTATGGCCGAGACTTGATGGAGGCCCAGGACTGGTGCAGGAAGTACATGCGGTCTGGAAATGTTAAAGATTTGACTCAGGCCTGGGACCTCTACTACCACGTGTTCAGACGCATCTCCAAGCAGCTGCTACAGGTAGGTGGAAATATGGAAGATCTGCAACTGCTCTCACTGTAGTCATTGCTTGATTGAGCTGGACGAGGTAAAGAATACATATTACTAAGAATAAAAACCAACCTGTATCAGAGACGCTAAACTAGACTTACTAATGTAAACCAAAGACACTTTTATTAGAGGCCTAATAAGTCATCATTTATCATGTAAGAAGATTCAAGGAGATATAAAGAAGGTTTAAATTACTTTTTTAAGTATAATAAGATTTTTAGGTAAGATTATTTCACTAGTAAAAAACAGATATTGGACCAGTAGATGCCCCTTTAATATGTATCCTTAGATTGTTCTGGAAGGATGCTTCCTGCTGTGACATAAGAGCAAACTGCAAGAAATACACAGCACTGTAATAAGGCTCTCGGAGCAGAGCAAATATTACTCCATGTGGCATTAGCATAAAAATAAACTCGACCAAATGTATCCAAACAGCAGACCCAGACCAGGGCGTGGCTCTGCTGACACCACTTTACATCAACTGGCAGACTTACGTTGTAAAAAAACTCATTTTCAGAGAGTGTCATTTTGATGCACACAAGTAGGAGAAATACTCAGTAAAGTACAAACTTGAACTGCTGTAGGCTTTGTCGACAAACGCTGCTCCACTGTCCCTGTCTCAGATCTGTATCTCACCTTTTTTTTATCCCCATCTCATCATCTCTCTGCACAGCTGACTTCCCTCGAGCTTCAATATGTGTCTCCAAAGCTGCTGATGTGCCGCGACCTAGAGCTGGCTGTACCAGGCACATATGACCCCAACCAGCCCATCATCCGCATCCAGTCCATTGCTCCATCCCTGCAGGTCATCACCTCCAAACAGCGCCCACGCAAGCTCACTATCATGGGTAAGAAGATTGGAAGAAAAGGGAAAAAAATCCTGCTGCCGAATGCTCCATATATGAGGGGGAAATAAATGAAAGAATGATTCCAGTCGAGTGCTCTCAGCAGGCGTGGGGCGTCACATTAGAGAAAATTCAATATTAATAAAATTTCCACCCAACACAAGAAAACAGCTCCGAGGCTTCACTTAACTTAGAATTCATCAGTCATAGTGGAAAAAAATCTGACTGTGGATAGAACAGCAGAATAAAAAAACTCTTTATGAAGTGAAAAAAAATGAATTCAGTGATGAGTCAGACACAAAAACAGAAAACTCAAACATCAGACCAACAAAAATCAATGACCAGGCAGCTTTTCACCAAAGATACTTTTTTTTTCAGAATGAAAAATGAATGTGAAACACTGACACTGCATTATTAACCATACAACTGGGGCTGTCAATCAAGGAAGATTTTTTATCAGATTAATTAAAAAGTAGCTGTAGGTTAATCACTTTCAATCAGGATGGTATTTGATCATGATTAATCCTGATCAATCAAGGCAAGTTGTCATTCCTAAATGTGACAAAAACCTTGTTTTCTGTATAATATTGGATAAACAGAAAGACAAGCAACAGCAGGTAGATGTTTGTTTTTCATACTTGTAATAATTAATATGGTAAAATGTGAGGAACATTATGTAAACTAAAACTGAAATCCCTCCAAAAGTATGTTCTACCTATGTGCACTTGATAGAGTTGGTGGATTTTTGGCATTACTGTTCATCTTACTGGTGTCTGGTAGAACAGGGAGAAAGGCTGTTGTCCTCAGCCACAGTAGTCAGTCTACAGTCTTTGAAGTCCATCTGACAGTTGTGTCAGTCAGCTTATCATAGACTGTCACAGACTTATGTACTGTACGGTCCACCACTCGGTGTGTGCAACAATAATGCATTATTGTTGCACACACTGCAATGTGTATTGGTTGTGTAATACAGAAAGAATGAGTTAATGGACAGTGGAATTAGTTGGATATTCAGTGTGTGTCATTCTGTTCATGCATTAAAATATCTTAAAAGTTTTAATTATATTAAAATTTAAGGTTGTTAGCATATTAATTCCGACAACTTTAACAAAACATTTTCTCTTCACCCTCGTCTTAAAGCACACATCTGCAGATTTTCTCTTACATTCTCCTCCGTCTGATTCTCACATTTTTGCTGGTTCACCCCTGTAAGTGGAACACATCACACTGTGTCAGAGATGATGGCCAATACATCATCTAACCTCTGGAGCAGGACTTCAGATTAGAACCTTTCACTTCTCCACCAGGCCACTTAGATTTACTGTCACTGTGCTCCGTCACACTCTTCCCCCAACTGGAGCGGGGATCAACTCGTTGGCCCATTGAGCCGACATTAGCAGCAGCAGACTGAGGCTAAAGGCAGGGATTGTGTTTTACTACCGATACTACAAGTATCAGTTAGCTCCATTATAGGTTTTATTTATGACGGTCAGATTGACCAGGAAATAGCTGCACTCCAGCTTCTCACATGTGGAACCAAGAGTAATAAATATGGTTGAAGTATTTCTGAAGTGCAGTGATTTAGAGCTACTTGTAACGCAGCTTTTCTGACTGTTTATTTAGAACACATGTGTTTTTATTTTTAAATTACACATACAGAACCTATACCTTTTGTTATAACACTTTCTCATTATCTTCTTATGATTACTGAATTACATGGGAATTAAGCTGCATTTAATAGAACTAGTGAGTGCTGAAATACCCACTAGCAGCTTATATTCAGCTCATAGTCATCACTTAAACATGTTTTTATTGTAGTGTTTGAGCCAAAGAAATATAAAGTCCTTTATATAAAGTCATTACTATTACATAGTGTTTGTTTTCTGTATCCACATCAGCGCCTTGTACGTAGACATTACTTTAGATTGTGACCAAACAAAATTACAGTCTTCTATTTAAGTGTTTATACTGGACTATTAACATGTATTTTTTGGGTATCTCTGCTCCAAACTGTGTGTGTTAGAGATTCCATATGGAACAACACGGGATTAAACTAACAAATTTACATTTTGATCTGTTCTGCCAGAACGTCCTACTTTTAATCAACCAGCAACGGAAACTTTTTTCCCTCCTCATCAGCTGCACACACTTCCATGTGTGTCATTCTGGGATGTAATTTTGGAAACATATGCCACAAATACTGCCGTCACAAACTGCTTATGTGACATTGTGGTGTGACATAGAAGGGTTTTTTTCCCCAGGTAAAGAGACTGAGCTGTGCTAATTATTTTTCACGGTGGTATGAAAACCATTATTAATGAGGCAGGCCCGTTTGCACAGTAAGCAGGTCCCACTTCTATCACATGTCACTCTCTGCTGCTGCTTTCACTATGGTCTCTTTACAGTAGAGCACATGCTGTACATTTTGCCACAAGATATTTGTTGATAATATTACAATTAGAACATGAGGTGATTCAGAGATGTGATATAATAAATGACCTAGGAATGTATTCATTAAGAGTTCTCTTAAGACCATTTGTTTTACATTGCTAATGCTCTTTGACTCACAGTGCGTTTGTGGCTACTCCTACAGGCAGCAACGGGCATGAGTTTATGTTCCTATTAAAGGGACACGAGGACCTGAGGCAGGATGAGAGGGTGATGCAGCTCTTTGGTCTGGTCAACACACTGCTGGCGAACGATCCTGCATCTTTGCGGAAGAACCTCAGGTTGAGCAACAAATCTGAAAACATCCCATTTTACATCTGTAAACCTGAAAATTATTCTGTGTGTTGTGACCTCAATCAAACTGGTCCTTCCTTTGTCCCCTGTGTCCACAGTATCCAGAGATACGCGGTCATTCCCTTGTCCACTAACTCGGGCCTGATTGGTTGGGTTCCTCACTGTGACACTCTGCACGCGCTCATCAGAGACTACAGAGAGAAGAAGAAGATTCTGCTCAACATTGAACATCGGATCATGCTAAGAGTGAGACACTTCAGACATTTATAATGTTACTGGTTGAAACAGGTGACAATAATTGGCTTTCACTGCAGCAAATGCCTTTAACGTTTTAAAAACACAGGTTATTGACTTTGGTTCGGTAAGCCAGTTTATTTATGTATTTATTTTTCTTGTTTTTTGGAATGAGTAATTTCCACATACGATTCTTTTTTATAAAGGACTAAGAGATTCAGAAAAGCTACAGGAACATCTGTTTGCAGTAATTATTTGGATTAGTCGCAGTCATCTTTAAATGGAAACATTCAGAGGCGGTGGATTTTTGTTAGGAATGAATCCTACTGAAGAACGAAAGGAGGAAAAGAAACATGTGAAAACATCTTTTATTATGTGTGGCTCCACAGCAATGTAAACACAACACTTGAAACACAATTGACTGAACATGGTGTCATTCAGCAGGGCTGAAAAGAACAAGTCAGACCTGCCAAAAAGAAGAAAATGGTGTTATATGCAGCTTTATTTTTTTTAACCATTTCTGACTCATTCACTCAGCCTTCACAGTGAGAGATATTTACCTGACCAGTCAATCAGACAGACCATTAATCTTTGTAACAAAAAGTGAAAACGAATTGTATGCTCACTTATCCTTTCTGCATAGGAAAGTGATTTTTTTCTAAGACGTGTTTAAAGGTACAGCTGGTACAGACTATAACCAAAACATAACCACAAGTGAACATTGACATTTAAAAATTCTGCAAAACATTTCAGCCACTATTGTACAGCTAAATGAGTTCAAATGTCCAGAGATGGTCCACAGAAATCAGAATACAAAGGTACGTAAAGGTGCCTTTGAGTTTTGACAAAAGAGCAGCTGAAAGCCCACAAGGCAAAAAGAGCAACTGTTTGCAGGTTTGATTCCCTGCTCTTTTTGTATTGAGTTTGCACGATCTCCACCATGTAGCTTCCACACCAAACTAGATGGTGCTGGAAAAGCTTAAAAATAGATTATTGATAACTCTTGAATAGTGCTCAAAGATGGCACGAGCTCTGTTAGAATTTTTTATGTCTGAAAAGTGTTTGGCAAAAATGAAATGTAACATTCCTTGTTGGTCCCACTGGTTGAGCTAACAGAATGACCCTGTGTTTGTTAGATGGCACCAGACTACGATCATCTGACCCTGATGGAAAAGGTGGAAGTGTTTGAACATGCGGTGAACAACACAGCTGGTGACGACCTGGCCAAGTTGTTGTGGCTCAAGAGCCCAAGCTCAGAGGTGAGACCTACTGAGCTCTAATGGAGTTTATTATTGTGGTCTGCTGATCTTTTTAACTCACATCATTTTTCAGAGCAGCCACAATGAGTTGTCACATATAAATAAACCAAAAGCTAAATAAGGTTTTCTTGTTGATATTCTGGGTTTATCAGATATAGAGGAGACAGTAATCAGAGAAGGTGTCTGTTCATCTGTCCAGATTCTCACCTCCAGCTCTAGTAATTGAGTGAAATTCAGCACAGAGAAGAAGTGAAGAGTCTTTATCTCTGTGTCCTACTTTCAGCCACCTGACTTATCAGCACTTCTATAATCACACCTGCAAATTAAGTCCATTTTTAGGAGCATGAGTACTTTGTGTACCTGATGTTCTTAGTGTCGGTGCAAAAGCTAAGATAATGTGTCGAAACAAGAAAAACTGCTAATGATCCTGATGCCAATTTCCCTGCAGGTGTGGTTCGACAGAAGGACCAATTATACCCGCTCCCTGGCTGTGATGTCAATGGTCGGTTACATCCTCGGTCTGGGTGACAGGTGAGCGTCGCTGCTGAAGGGTTAGTGGGAAATTATATAGGGATTTGAGGTAACTAAAGCTTCTGTACTCACACACAGAGTGTGCTGTGATCAGAGGTTTAAAGGAGGTGACTGTGCTGTGAAACATGAACGTTTTATATGAATCTGTACCATGATGTACCACAATTACACATTTTGTGCAATTTTTGTACAAACACTGTCAGTTTGCATTTAAAAAAAACTAATGTTTGCAGACATTATATCATTATTAGTAATGATAATAAACTCTTGTTGAGAGATCAGTGATAAAATATTGACAGTAATAAAACTGACACTGTTAAAAACAAAAAATACATTCATTCATTACTTTCCCACAGGCATCCATCCAACCTGATGTTAGATCGATTGAGTGGAAAGATTCTCCACATAGACTTTGGTGATTGTTTTGAGGTAGGATTTGGTTGAAATTCTCTTTGTTTTGTTTTTTTAAATTAATTTTAATAAATACTGAGTTTTATTACATCTACCAGGTGGCCATGACCAGAGAGAAGTTCCCCGAAAAGATTCCATTCCGACTGACAAGGATGTTGACAAATGCCATGGAGGTGAGTGTAGAGACTGAAGGTGGAGGAAGTTTTATCCTTCATGTTAAACCTGTGACTGTTCACCTATTGACCTCCAGCTGGTTTTAATCGAAGCCTCTTTTATTAAAGTGCTTCGTCAGATGTTATAACAAAAAAAGAAAGAAATAGCACATTAGTCGGCATTTGAATGACACAGACATAAGTTTCCTCCTCAAACTTTTAGTCTAAGTGTCGGCGGCTGTGACTGTCCCATCAGTAAAATGAGTGTCTGCTTGTCTGGCAGGTGACAGGCCTGGACGGTAATTACCGCATCACCTGTCACACAGTGATGGAGGTGCTGAGGGAGCACCGCGACAGTGTCATGGCTGTGCTGGAGGCCTTCGTCTATGACCCGCTGCTCAACTGGAGGCTCATGGACAGTAAGTGAAAGGAAAAAAGCAGAAGAGACAGAAGTGTCACGCTTCAGGCTGGATTAACCATGGCAGCATAAATAACAGGGAGCCGCAGATGAATATCCAAACAGCAGTTACAAAAACAAAACATTTTAGGTGATGAAGTGTGTGGAGAATAAGTCAAAAAAAAAACAAAAGTTGAAGAAAATGTTTTAACAACACAAAAACAACAAAATGATTTTGTTTTGAAGGCCATGAAATGAGTTAATGAATTTGTGTCATAATGTCAGCTTTGATTAATAAAAAAAGGCTAAGGTTTTTACTAGAATTGCTTAATTTTTGGACATTTTTTCACCCTGAAGGAGGTTTTTCCAGATTTATATTGATGACTTAGAAAATACTGCTTAATAAAGTGTAACTAAAGCTCCAATAGTAATAGTAATGAGATTGTTGCTGTTCAACCTGGTCACCGCATATGCACCACTCCCTTCAGTGTGTTGTTGAACATTTTCCTCTAAACAGGATCATGAATTACTTCATCTCTTTATCTTCGCACTTGTACTTTACCCAAATGAAGTCGTGTTCTTGTAAAGACCTGAGGAAATTGATCTGGAACCTGTGGCTCTTTAGCCTGTTTTACAGTGCCTTCCTGCAGTGACCCAGATGAAGCCTGACTGTGACTCATCACACAGTAGTAAATAGCAGATGAGAAGGAGCTGTAATTTTATACGAAGTTAAACCAATTCCACACACCACACTACATTGTAACCTTGCTTGCTAATAGCAAAAAAGCAATGGTTGACTTCAGGTCACAGTTTCTGATAGTAGTAGTGTGTAGTGAATACTACTTTGTTTTAATCAGGGGCTGCGTGTAGAAATGTGGATCTTTTGTGTTTTATTTTTCCATAAATAGTCAACACCTTTCTTATACACTTGCCTATATATCTGTAGTATTACTACACTATAGTACTAAGAACTGCACTACTGCACTCATTTGAATGGTTGAAATGTTTTTTGGCAGTCTGTGAATTTTATTTTTCAAAATGATGAAAAATGTCTCTGTCACCGTTGAACGCTGCCATAAAGGCCTCAGGAGTGTCTTCCAGACTTTATAAATCAACGCCTGATAGTTTTAGTGAATCATGAAAGTTCATACGGAGACGACCAGAGAACTTTTCCCTTTGAAAGTTTTTCCATGGTTTACCCTTTGATATTTTCTTCTGCAGAGCAGGTACTGTAACTTGATTGACAGACAGAGTCAATAATAAGCAACAGTCCATGTAGGAAAACACCCAAAGAGAATGTATGAATTATGATCAATTATTTAAAGTCCAGGTGTGATGGGATTCCTATCAGATGAGTAAATAACCAATGATATCGTCTGTGTACACCCGCAGCAAACACCAAAGGCAACAAGCGTTCTCGTACCAGGACGGACTCATACACTGCTGGACAGTCAGTGGGTGAGTGTTCAAACTTCAGCTTCTGTCGCGTCTGCTCTCGGCTCTTCACTTGATAGTGTGAGTCTCATCAGTTAAACTGTGTGCTCTGTCCAATGCAGAGGCTCTGGAGGGAATAGATCTGGGAGAGAGCACACACAAGAAACCTGGGACCACAGTGCCTGAATCCATTCACTCCTTCAGTGAGTCCCTGTCGTATTTATTTCTGTTTGTTGTCGTTCAGATCTGTATTTTTCTTTTTTTCTCTGGTAGCTGTACTGTTGTCGCAGTATTGCTGCAAGGCAGTACTTAAATCTGCTTTGTTGCCCTTTTGCTGTCAACAATCTTGAAGTGAAAGAAACAACAGTATACAGTTGGTGCAACATGGTGTTGGTATGTGAGTGTTTTTGTTGTTTGTGTGTTTTATAGTTGGAGACGGTTTGGTACAACCTGAAGCACTCAACAAGAAAGCCATTCAGATCATCAACAGAGTGAGAGACAAACTGACAGGTGAGGTCTGCAGCAACATCCACTGAGACGTGAACGCAGAGAAACCATACCAACGGACAAAAAACAAAACTGGATTTGTTTTACCTGACCCAGTTGTGATGTTTAACAAATTATGTTTTAAAAAATATATAATTTAATACTTAATATACACAATGCCAAAAGACCTTATTGTTAGAGTTTTTAGCCATACTGGATGATAAGTCACAATTATATTTAGTTCTTTGACTGGATCTGCAAGTTAAGCATTACATTATGTGAAAAGTCATAATTTGCCACATGGTGGCAGATGTGGTTAGTACTGTTGCCTGGTTTTCCTAGTTATTCGAACCTGCAGGATTAGATTAGCTGCTTTCTCTCTTTCTCTTTTAATTCCCTAATATTGAAGGCTGTGAAAGATGATTCGTCTTGACATGTTGTCCTGTGATGGACTGGGGAGTTGTTAAGGTTTAACACCACCATCGCTGTGATTGGCTCCAAACCTCTCAACCCTTATGATTAAGTATCAGCAGAAGACAATGAGATGTGTCAACGTGTTTATTGTCGGGTTTACATTTTCCCAGAGGTTTCTGTGTGGGATACAAATATCCAGTCAGAATTAATGTGATAAATTTACACCTCATACAACCCGATTATGGAGGTAACATATTTTAATTAAGAAAAGTACCTTTCCCAGTATAAATAAAGTATATTTACAGGTATTTGTTATTTTAGCCAGATTGTCAGATGTTGGACTCAAATGTGCTGCACTTTTTATTTCCTTTTTTCTTCTTTTGTCGACCCACAGGTCGTGACTTTTCTCACGATGAAACACTGGACGTGCCGACACAAGTGGAGCTGCTCATCAAACAGGCGACGTCGCATGAAAACCTCTGCCAGTGCTACATTGGATGGTCAGTGCCTATATGTATAAAGTGGTGTTATATTCTTATTCAAAATCTGAGCATTTTTGATAACTGTTTTTTTTTTTGTTTTAAATTTTGCTTCCTCAGGTGTCCATTTTGGTGAATGACGGCCTCCGGCAGAAGAACGGTCTCCAGAGGAACAAAGTAAAACTCCCGAGAATGTCTTTCTTTTCTTTTTTCTGTCTGCTTTTGCAGAGTTGTCCGGTTTTCCTGTGACATGCTGTAAGATTTACAAAGTGCTTTATGAGCTGTGGTTTTATCTGATGACTTTATTATTATATAGTCCTTACATCAGAAACACATTCATCCCCGTATAGATCGTGACGACGTCCACGTTGCGAGTCTTTTGTTTTTTCTTTTAACTTCACAACAACTTTCACAACCTCCAATGATTTGTTTTGGCTGAAATGATAACGCTTTATTCTTTTTATTAAAATTTTTAAAAGTTCCTCTAAATATAGCAGAAGTATAATTTAACTTGACATTATTACCGTCTTGGCACCTGTGCCAAATAATCCTGTATAAGGTACCAATGTGTCTGTGATTGTTAACGCTCTATCTTTTTACACCTACTGTGGAGGAAAACTGTTCTGGCATCAGGCAGACTTTTTTATTGTTATATTATTATGAAGCTGCTCCTCCTCTTGTTTTTTATGTCACCTACAGAGGGCACTCTTGCTCCTGTGAGAGCCTGCTTGAATGAGGACAGAATTCATTCAGCAGAACATAAAAGATAAGACCAGAAGAAAATTCTGGACGTTCTCTTATCTCTGCTGGTGACGCTGCTTGTACAATCTGCAGTCAGTGTGTATTTATTTTCATGTTAAAACCACAGAAATAATTCTTTTTTTCTGATATCTCTGACTAATAAAAGGAGAAGTGACAAACCAGATTGCAGAGGAGTCGGTGAAGACTCGGTTTTTCTGTGGGAAGAAGTGTTTGTTTCACTTGTGCTCATTGCTATTCTTCTTATTTCCTCCATTTATTTCTCCGCAGCGTTCTCCTCTGAAGGTTAATTACTTATAGATAGTCGGGGATTACGGATCAACAAAAAGCAGCCCATTGATCTCTTCCCTGCCGTAGCCACCTCTGCAATGTCACACTCTTTACACATTGGAACAGAGGCCTGGTGATTATCTGTTCACATCGATTGATTCCCTCTCTGTTTTCCCTTCTGCCTCCTCTTCCTCCTCCCCTGCTTCCTTAAAAGTCACTCTGTCTTGCCCTCTCTCTCTCCCTCTCTCTCTCTCTCTTCCCCTCCCCCTTTCCCTCCTGCCACCAAAAGCTCATTACAGAAAATGTGACTTTTGGTAGTCTTTGCCACCATTTCTGTTGTTCTTTCTCACCTGTCTAATTTGTTTGTTATTTTTTCCCGCCTCTCAAATCTGCGGAGGCGCAGGCGAGTCAATAGCTCATCTTAAATAGGCTGCATTGATTGAGCGAGGGATTTAGCTGTTTACTAACTGTGGAAATGAGCCACAGAAAAACAGCACTGCGTGGAGCAAGTCAGTTGTAGCAAATGATACACATTGGCAGACAGTGATTCTAAATAAGGTGAGGGGAGGTGAGGGGTTCTGGTGATGGAGGTCTGGGGGATACAGGAGGCCACACTTCACCAGCCATCAATGTCACCTGAAGCTGCTAATGCAGCTGCAGCTAGCACCTTGATCCACAGCGGTGTTTTCCAAACATTTTCAGAATATTTCATATCGGAAAAATCTCACCAAACAAAATTGTTACAAAAGTTTATGCAATAAAACACATGGTTTTCTTTACTTACCCTGTGTCTCTTTAGTTGAACACAATATAGATGTACTCGCAGGAATTGAAGAAAGACACAGAAATCTAAAACTGCTGTGTCACTTTTTTTATGTTTGATAACCATCTGCTCTCAGCTAGTGGACAAGTATTTAATTATTCTGCCTGTGTTTGTAAGAGAGACTAATGAAGACAAATTATTTGCTATAACTAAAAAACGAATGTCTGTCCAATTAAGGGAAATTTGATCATTTTCCACACTACACCTGATGATCCCTTACAGGACACTAACATGTCATGTCATAGTGATCAGGAATCACTCATTCCTGACCACTATGGTGTGATGGAGGCAGCAACAGATTCACAGATGAAGATCTTTATCTTCTAATGTTCTTATAATTATTTCAAAAGAGTTTTTAAATGAATTATCTCAAAGGTCATGAAGGTGTTTTGTGTTAAAAGTTGGTTCATTCCACATTCCAAAACAGGGATGTTGTTAAAGGTCACATTCAGTAAAATGATTCAATTGAAATGAATTTGAGCCATATACTGCAAAGCTATACTTTTTAACATGCTTTTTTTTACCATTATTGTTTGTAAAGGCAGTCACATATTAGAATGGCTCAATATCAACCTTTTTATTTCCTGTACTGCAACCTGGGGTATCAGATAAAAGTAGTGTTCCAAGAAAACAAGCTTCAACGTAGGCACAACTGGATTGGACAGGTTGTTTTTCTGACCTCAATATTTTTGCAAATATTGATCTGATACCAGTTTGGTATCAGATTGGATCGTCCCGAGTCTCTGGGATCTGGAATCTCTCATGGGGTCTCTGTTTTCTTCAATCACTTTGAGTATAATGTCCATAGTGCTCCGACGTGCTGCCAAACCATAGTCAGAACAGAATTAATATGACAACTTCTCCAGGGAGCTGCACCACAACATTAAGCATCCAATCCGAACTGGCTGAATTTGAACTAAGTTAGTGAATAGGAAGTAGAATTTATATATATAAACTGTATATACACACCGTGCCCCAGTGAAGAACTGACACAGTCTTGTCTTCACTGGGACACTCTTAAACATTGACTGTCAGCAGAAAGACATCAAAGACCTGAGGCTTCTAAAATAAAACTCCAGTTCCTCCATACAGTACTGTACTCCTCCACATATATTTCACTGACTCGTTCATAAACTAACAAACCACCAAAGTGTCTGTCAACTCAACTGTTTTTGCATAAACTATTTATAATTATTTGGTACAGGTTTAATTACTTCATTCTTTGAGATTGGATGTGAATGGATGCTAGTGTGAAGTCACCAGGTTTGGTCTTTTTTTCTTTTTCTGCTAGTGACTTATTTGAAATAAACAGATCTTATGACCAGTCAGTGTCCTCAGAGTATTTGCTTCAGTGACTGCAGTAAAACATCCATGGACAAGAAGTCCTCAAAAGCTGCTGCTAACTGTTCAATGACTGAGATGGACAGGAGATTTGAAGTTCTGCATGCCTTAAAAATGTAGTTCTAGCACTTGGCCTGCTATCATGAAATGATGCTGAATCTGGACTTTTAATCCCAGGGATTGGTGACCATGAACAATGATAATTATCCTGGAACCCAATTGCAATTGTCTCCAAATCTTGTGTCTAATTTCAGTGTCACACCGATCGTCTACACCTTCAAGCCTCACTTGACCAGTCTAAGCATGCTAGAACATGTTCATCTCCCCCTGAGATGATCTGAGCCAGAAATGTCTAATCTCCCAGCATGCTCAGAGTCTATCACAGTCACCCAGCAGCTGGATAAACCCAGGAGGCGTTCTGATCAAGTGTTCCAACCACCTCACCTGGTTCCTTCTCATGCAGTCGAGACCAGAACCTGACAACAACCCAGGCTCCCGTCTCTGTACTGGTTCCTGGACTCTGTAGGTCGTTACCTCAAACTACTGAAAGGTCATCGCTGTGAGTGGGAACAGACATTATCTGTCAAAATGAGGGCTTCGCCTTCAAACTAACACACCTGCACATCCGTTTGCTACAACGGCCACATTACTGCTGATGCTGCACCGAGTGCCTCGTCAATCTCACGCTCTATTTTGCCCTTGTTTAAGAACAAGACCCCCAGGTATTTGTACTTCTTTGTGCAGCAGCAGCAGCAGCAGCTTTCTCCCAGGACAGAGGGAGGAAGACAGTCTCCTGGCAAAGATGACTAATAATAAGAACAAACAGAGGGAATCACTCAGCTACCTACTTCAGTCATGGTTACCACTGCGGTTTGTAATAACATTAACCACAGTACTGATGCTATGTACCCTGAATTGTACCTCTAAAAGTATTTGCTATATTTATCTACATATCTTTTAAATCTTCTGAGAGAAGCGTTGAAAAATAATTCATACAATTATATATTTAAAATAAGTCAATTGATGACAATGGAGCTGAAAATTTGACCTTATTGAATAATGAAAAATGATAGTGTGTGTTTAATAGTGTGTGTTACAAAATATAGGAATATACTAGCTAAAGTTAATATTATGAAATGGCAACCTCAGTTGGCCTAACAGGAGGGGCTGTGGTCACTTCACTCGCCCTTACTCCCCTTACCCCCCTCTTTTTAAGAAACACTTTACGATAATAGAACCAAGAGCTGTTTTACAGTCAATTTTTTACAAACATTTTCACAGAAAGTCGTGACGGTACGTATATCTTTTCTGATACTGTGTTTGAGTCTCACACCGCCTCCTCGTCCTCCTCCTCCCCTTTTTTCTCTTCCTGCTGGGATTCCATCTAAAAGTGACAATAATACACTTGTGCTAAAGATAATCATTCTAGAAAATCAAACACATTAATTTAAGTCCATAACTCCAATAGAAATCTCCACAACCATAACATGTCTTTTTTTGTATTTGTCTTTCTATGTGTAATAACATTATTATAACTAGTATTTTTTCTTCTTTTCTTTTTTTACATTTCATGTTTGTCACCACTTTGTGAATGGGCGGGGCCATAAACCCGGCTCATATTTTGTCACCACTTCGTGAATGGGCGGGGCCATAAACCCGGCTCTGTTTGGTGCATTTGCTGTTTGTCTAATAACCTGAATAGACGGCGAACAGATCGATGAATCAAAGTGCACGGCGACACCTTACATTTATCAGCGGACATGTAGGCTGAGCCCAGCGTGCCTCAGTTACAGGCCTGTTATTTCTAAGCTGAACCACTTTTCACAGCACCTTAACTGCACTGTTGTGATAAAGCACTCTCTGTCTCCCGCTCTGAAAACCTGTTCTTTCAGCACACTCTGGTCCACATCCTGTTATGGGATTTACCTTATCTGATGTGCTGCATATTTGTCAGGTCGTTGGCCTCCCTGACCTGGACGCTCCGTCACACAAACACAGGCTGGAGTTCAGCTCTTAGAACCACAGTCGGCTGCTTCCTGTTAAACACCATCTTTGAGCAGCAGCTCTTTGGAATAAAGTGTTGTCGCACGTTTGGGAGGTTTGTTTGACCAGCAGAGGGAATAAAATGGTTCTTCTTTACCTTTTTCTTCATTTGACATCCAAACTTTGTCAACCTCTAACTTCAAACTGCTGACCGTCTCATCTCCATTCCTGTCCGTCCTGGTCACTCCCAGTGAAGATCTCAGCATCTTCTTCACCTCCACCTCAGCCTCTGTTGGTCAGAGCCACAGTCTTCAGTCCATACATCATAGCAGCTCTCACTACCGTCTAATAAATCTGGCCTTCTAACTGATATTCTTCTCTCACAAATCACTCCTGACACTCCACCCTGACCACACCCTTTACTTCACCTCTTTTAATCGCTGTCCCCCTGGTGTTTGACCTGAGGTGTTTAAACTCATCCACCTTTACTACCTCTACTCCATCCACCGACCTATAACTGTCGTTGACACACATGTATTCTGCCTCCTGTCCTTTTCTGTTCCTCTGATCTGCTGTATTTTACTCTAACATTTTTACAGGCCATTCTGACTTAGTTCACATTAAACACAATAACTGACGAATACAAATTTATTTAATTCAAATTATATTTATTTTTTATGTGTTTAATAAACAATGAGTATAAAGTGACTTTCCAAACTATTCCATCTTTTAATAAACCTATAACTTAA